GGTCACGGGGCTTGTAGCTAAAGATTCTGGGCCGCTTGTCGGCATCGCGCTGACACTGGCGCTCAGGTTGCCTCCGGAGAGAACACCCGCACTACCAGCTGCTGTACAGCGACCAGCGTCAACCCATGCGGTATTCTGTTGGGAGGCATATCCACGCTCTGCGGCGCTGATCACGGACCAGGGCTGTCCTCCGTAGATGTTGGTGTTCTCATTAGTGTTGGTGTTGGCCGTGTTCCATGTTACGACTTGCGGAGATCTGACAGAACCAGAGCGGTCTTGAAACATGCCGTCATGAAACATTGGGTCGGGATAGGCATAGCTCTGCTGGTAGGGGTGGGAGTGATAGAAAGAGCTCTGGTTATGGCCGCTTTGCGGAAGTGACTGGTGCTGAATACCTTGGTAGAAATCTCGAGGTTGAATCATGCCATGTCCAGGAATGACTTGAGGCTCAAAGCCGTTGAAGGCTGGAGTTGGTGTCCAGTGACTATGCATGCCATGGGCGAAACACGGAGGAGGCACTATTCCTTGGGGTTGCTGCTGAGGCTGCTGAGGCTGTAGAATACCCTAAGTGTTCATTCGGTCAATGATTTTGTCTATTTCTCTCTTCGCATCAACCAAGCGCAGTTTTCCCCTGCGAAGATGAAGACAAAAACGAATCGCTTCTTTACGCGGCGATTGGGCGGAGAGGAACATTCAAACCGCGTCAAACTTCAAAAGGATTCAAGAAAACTCAACATACCAAGTCAAGATGCGGGGTATAGGCGACGGCATCGCCGGGCCTGGAGTCGCTGGAAAGCCTGCCCGCCACGCCAGACGTGGGATTTCCTGCACTATTTCAGCCTCTGACTATAGGAACGAAGCAGGAAAGCGGCAGGAAAGCGCACCATGCAAGTTTGCTCCGTCATCCTGGTAGACACCATGCTCGTTCTTACTGTTGACAGTAGTCGATTCGACGGTGGACGGGGCAGAATGCTTGTAAGAGGAATGTAGGGAGTCGTTTCGGGTGGTGCGTCGAGCAGTTTCCTTCTTGAATTTGGTCTTGATCGGGGTCTCATCAGGTGAATCAATCTCAAACTCCTGGTCGATTGAATCGCGATCATCAAATATGTCATGTTCTGCCTGCTCCGCCTGTGCAGCAATCCTTGACTTGGCTCGCGTAGCGCTACCACGCTTTGGGCGCCGCTCTCTTGTCCCCTCTTTATCAACGACTACTTTAGTAGTAGCCTGACCGCGAGCTTTCCTCGACTTCTTGCTTGGGGTCTTCACGGCAGCTTGCTTTCGAGGTGTATACTTCCTCGGGGTGCTTTTGCGGGGGGTACTCTTGCGTGGGGTCGACTTGGTAGGCGTAGATAGGCGTCCACCCATAGTAGCGAGAGCCTTGGATCTTCGTTTGAGGATGTGCTCAGAGACAACTGAAGGCTTGTGGATGAAAGCTTTCTTTTTAGACGCAGAGCCCTTGAGCTGAAGTCCGCGATCAGCTGGCATCCGGAGGGGCCGGGGTCGGGTATGGAAACTATGGGAACACTCAACGTACCGGACTGACCTCGTCGTCGGAAGGGTCTTCATCGATGTGACGATAGCGTTCAAAGTTCATCATCATATCTGTAACCATTTCTGTTGGGTTAATGGCATCCGAGCCGATTCGCATGCGCTGAATCACAGAATCATCCTTGCGCTGGTTCCGCTTCTTCTTGCCCTCTTCGGTTGCAGAATCGAACAAATGCATGCCAGGCCAATACTGACCCTTGAGCTCCGGAACCCTGCGTACATTATCATCATTGTCAGATGCGTACTCTGAAACCATATCGCTTCTGTCTACGTAGTCAGATACGCGGGAGTTGTCGTAATCGCTGTAGACGGGACCCAGATAGGTAAGGTCTTGGGCCGCCAGGAAGCCTGGAGTCACATTTCGGTCGAGACTTCCTGTGGGGTTTAGGCCATTGAAGTCCTGGTTGGCGCTCTTGGGCGTGATATTGAAGTCGTCCATGAGTTCTGTCGGAATGTGTGGCAAGAACAAGTTCCTGCGCTTTTTCGAAGACTATAAGTTGTCAGTGAAAATCGGGGTCTAGTGATTGTGGAAGGAACAGCAGTGCGAAGACCACAGATCCGGGGTATTCATATCAAGACTTGGTCCGAAGAAGCTACTATTGAGATGGGGTGTCGACTTACTGTACGCTGCTGTTCAAGGAAGCGTTTGCGCTTGGCTGCCTCGACGCGATCCTTCTCCTTCTTTTTATTGTTCTTGTCCAGGAAACGTTCACTCAGCAAAGCCCCGATTCCGTTGTCGTCCTGCCACTTTTGAAACGCTGCGAATTTCTGAGCAGCTTCGACGTCCCCCGGGATGTGGGATCTGACTTCGATGTTGCCCTTAGCTCTGGCGTGACCACGCGACAGAAGATGAGTGAGAAGATGGGAAACGTCGGAGTATTTGGGTTCGTTGTCGCAAAGATAGCACACCAAAGGAAAGTCGGCTTTGTTGCGCGTCTTGGAAATAACAGTAGAAGTGGTCTTGAGGGGAGTGCTACGGTTACTGCTGTTTTTGTTGACGTGACCGTGAATCTTTGCGTTTACGTTACCCGCTTGGAGTGGAAGGCGCACGGCCACCACTGGGGATACTACCGGAGGCAACTCTGGAAGCGGAGCACCTGAAAGAGAAAAGAAGTCATGTGGTGTCTCTGAAGGGCATTCAGATAGGCCCAGGCCGAAATTCGCGGCGTGAAGTTGCGGGTCTTCCAGCGGATGGTAGCCATCATGGCTGGGAGGCTTGGGGTGAAAGTCGATGGACGCATTTTGACTTGTTGTTGATGAGGCCAACGGTGGATCCATATTCTGAACAGTCTTTAGTACAAAGATACGAACAACCGTATGAATGAATGTTGAGGATAGCCTCTAAAGCCAAGAGCTTTATGCTGGGATAAGGCCAGAGACAGGGGCCTGTGTTCTCAGATACAAGAGAAGGATCACATGAGAGAAGCGGAATCTGACAGCAAAGAGCAAGAGAAGCGAGTGATGAGTCGAGACTCGATCAAGAGAGAGTGAAAGGCGAATGATTGGAAACATGGTCAAGAGGATGGGCAGACAAGGTCTAACAACAAGATGAGGGTTGAACATGATGACTTGCTTTGACTAACGCTTCAGGAGCGACCACGAGGATCATACGGGGAGGAACGACCGGTTGAACGAAGCAGCTTACCTGCATCGTGCCCAAGGGCGCCTCGTTGATGCATTGAGCCTTCCCCAATGGCATCGCACAGTGAACAGACTTCGGAGTACATAGCTGCGTCAATCTGAGCTCTACGCTCGATGCTGGGTCAGGGATGCTGGGTCAGGGAGGGACAAGAGTAGCTGTGATGACTGCTCGAGCCTTGCTGGCGAGACCGTGATGTTTTTTTTGAACAGAAATTACCTGCGCAAAATGATTAGTAGAAGATCATTTGAGGAAAGTGTTGTATTGCAGGCACGATGGGATCAATGCGGGGGTGGCGTGTGGACGGGGCTGTCATGTCGAGACACGCTGGGTTCGCCAATTTTTTTGGCACGCTCAACAATGTGGCTCACGTGTCTTATATCCATTCAATGAAGACATGGGTGAGGGAAAATAATATGGCGCTGTGCACAAACTGGATACATGCTCGCCCCAAAGACGAAGTGTGAATGTGATATAGATATGTCGCCATGAGCAACAGGTCCTCTGGGACTAGTTCGCTACCGATCTCGATGAAAGACACGCCATTAAAGAAGACCATGACTCAAGGAGGGCCTGCGAAGGAAAGGTGTGCTGGTAGACTAGGGGGGGGGGAGAGACAGCCAACATACCCGGCGGTGAGGCAGTATCTCGTAGATACGAGTTGAGGTAGGGTATGGGCCGATGAGCTCTGGCTTCGGATGACAGTCGGTATCCTTGGCTTCACAAGCCGTGGAAAAATATAGTCAAATTCGAAATCGGTCGACAGAAATCTTCGCGCACCTGCCTATCTTCGTTCCAGTAAGGTATCAAGACCGAGATCCCAGAGCTTGCCATCTCCCCCGAGAGCGGGGCCGAAGTGGGGCCGTTATGGGCACCAAGACAACCAAGACAAGGCAGTCACAAGGGCGTGTCTATCAAGACAACTGTCGGGGAACGGATGTACATCCAGGTGCACAAGAACTATATCTGGATGCAGAATGAGCCCTTTGGCCGAGTTTGAGCGTCAGTTCGCTGCTCAAATCCACCGCAATCCACATGAGCTTGTTGCTGCTGAAGGAATGGCCGTCCTGTAATGCATGTTAAGCTGACGTGCTTGTAATGTCCTCACCTAGGTAGGCAGGCATATGCAACAGAGGAATGAGGTACATATATAGACTATAAGCCGCAGTAGAACCGCTGTGTAAGGTCGACGTCATCGCTCAGCAGTCATGGTGCAGGTCAGTCACTGAAGAATCTGGGAACCTGGCAGGGTCGATCCATTGTCATATCGAAGCAGGACGTCATGAGCGCATTGGCTTGCGCAGCCGCATCAAAGTCGCAGAGGAGGGAAGGAGTTCAGGCTGGTACCTACCTCGAAAGGCGTCTTTTCTGCCCTTGGCCGAGAAAATACTGTGGCTTTGACGGCACACTCGAAAGCTTTTAGGTAGGCCATCGTTGGGGAGGGCATCCGGGTGCGCGGGAGGGGGATGTCAGAGGGACGGAAATGGGAAAGAGCAACGTTGCTCAGCCTCGTAAGTCGAGTGTGGTCGTGAGGCTCGGTGCAAATCCCCAAACCTACTGAGCCCACCAATTGACATCTGACCACGTCGTCAGGCACTTGCAGACGCCAAGAGATCTGGATGCAACGGCGGGTAGGGAGTCTGCAGGAACGGTAACACACTTAATCTGATGCATCCTCCGAACCCCACTGCCAGGCCCAAGACCGTGGGTCATGGACGGGTTCCCATGTGTCTAGTGCGAGGTGGTTCAAGGACGTGCAGCGGTGATCAGGGAAGGGCGCCCATTCAGGGTCTGAACAAGTTGACATTGTGTTCTACTGCTTACCCAGAACTCGTTCGATGGTCGCTTTCGGCATACAGTAGACAGGATCCACGGCCTCGAGCCCCGGGTACTTCAGCAAACTCAAACCAGCAATGCCAAAGACGGTATGCCATACATCCACCATGTCTCCTGGTCGGTCAGCGATACCACCCAACTCGGGATCCTGCGCCTGGAGGATGAAGGCCGTGAGCTTGTCGCTATCGATCCAGTGCGTCCGTCCGATGATGGCAAGACTACTTAGGACCCACCAACTGTAACAAACGTCTTCCTTCTTCTCGGGCCTGCCGTTGAGACCGCCGCATTCGACTTGACGCTCGCTCAGCCAACGGCCGAGCTTGTCGACGTCGATAGCATCCAGCCGCTTGGCAATGGCAAGTGCAGCTACACACGTGAGAATTTGACCGGAGTGCGACTCGGCCCCTGGGCTGACGCCATAGCCACCATCAAAGTTGGCACAGGCTACAATGTGTTCCACTGCTTTGTCGACATTGACGAGGCCCAGGAGACCTAAAAGTGACAACGCATTCAGAGCGCCGTAAAGGAAACGTGTGTCTTCTTCGCCCCACTCATCGCCAGCAAAGGTGCCTGTTGTTCGGTTCTGCAGGTCTGCGATGACTGCTCAGGATGATCAGCCTGCGGTTGGTTGTAGGTCAATACTCCGGGTCACTCACACTTGCCAACCTGAGCTTTCCCCTTAGCTCGAGATTCCAGCTCGTCTACGGCATCAAGCATGACGAGAATCTGAACAGCACTGACTGTAGAGAGCATATGCGCATCATGCCCGGGGGCTGCACCAAAGCCCCCACTAGGGTGCTGGCATGATAAGACAAAGTCAATGGTATCGCTTCGTGGTAAGGCCTCGGGGTGGCCGAGGAGATGAAGTGCCGTTAGACCCCAGTACACGCCATTCAAGCGCAAGTGCTCGGTCAGCCAGTAGTCGTATTCGTCCTTCTTGGTGTCAAGGCTCTGGATGTATCTGACGTGCGCAGCAGTGACAAGCTTGAGCTCTTCCGGCAGGCTGCCGACGGTTGCAGCCATGGCTTTGGGTGTGTGTGTGTGTGTGTTTGTGTCTTGCGTACAGAGTGGGGAAGCAGCGAAATCCAGTGCGTGCGACCGGGGTTTGATGAGCTGGGTTGTCGTGAGATGATCGACGATGAAATGAGACGGCGGGCAGGCTTGGACGGGCGTTGGGCAAGACACGACGTCAAGCGCTGTGGTGGTTCTAGAAAGACCAAATGGAGATAAGCCACCCCTTAGGTAATGCAGCGCGGTTGCCAAGCCTCAAGGCTGGGGTAACCGGCCGCCGGGTGCCGATTGAGCAGCAAGAGAGGGGCGATGAGTGGACGGTCGCGCTTGCCCTGTGGGCTCCAGTGCTGTGCAGTTCGCTCGATACGCCGATAGCGCCTGCATGGCCCTGTCCAGCCACACCAGAGCTAGGTACTACCTGCCGTTAACATGCTAGGGCCTCTGAAGGGCACGGGTAGGGTCACATGCCGGCGCGGGCCAATTGCTTAGAAGTGACAGGCGATCCCATGGCAAACCCACGGAGAACCCGCCGGCGCATGCTTGAAGAGGCAGCTCCAGTTGGTGAGGCGATTTGTTGACTTGATGATGCTCGACACGAGTCTCACAACTGCCGCATTAGGATGCTCGCCTCGACGCTATCGACCCCAGTTTTGACCCTCCGCATTGCTACCGCATGCCTGGCCGACACTCTGCAGCTTCCGCTCCCCAAGGCATGTCTTTGCCTTCCGCCAGCCTTCCTTTCTGAGAGGAGAAGCTTTCTGGCATGTAGGTACAAAATGGCGACGCGCCCGCATATTCAGAATGTCGATCGATTGCGCCTTCACCTCCCGTCACCTGCTCCGCCCTTCCCTCTGTTCCGACCGTCGCAGTCTGATTTGCTCCCTTGATTCAAGATGAGGACCTCTACCGCATCTCTGGCCCTGGCCCTGCCCGCGCTTGCCAGCGCGGCCAAGTGCAAGCCGTATGTCTCGAGCGAAGCCCTGCAGGAGCTGGTCAAGATCGAGGACCTCATGGCCGGCTCTCAGGCGCTCCAGGACCAGGCCGACGCGCATGGCGGCAACCGCGCCTTTGGCAGCGGCGGCCACAACGCCACCGTCGACTACCTGTACGAGACGCTCACCAAGCTCGACTACTACGACGTCGTCAAGCAGCCCTTCTCCGAGATCTTCGCTACCGGCACGTCCACCTTGACCGTCGACGGTGCCAAGATCGAGAGCGGCATCATGACCTACACCCCCGGCGGCTCTGAGAAGGGCCCCCTGTTCCACGTCCCCGGCCTTGGTTGCGCTGTCAGCGACTTCCCCGCCGAGGCCAAGGGCCGCGTCGTCCTTCTGTCTCGCGGCACCTGCGCCTTTGGTCTCAAGTCGCAGAACGCCAGGGCCGCTGGTGCCATCGGCCTCATCATCTACAACAACGTTCCTGGTGGGCTCTCTGCCACCCTTGGCGCGCCTTTCCTCGAATATGTTCCCACCATTGGCATCAGCCAGGAGGACAGTGTCCCGCTGCTCGCTAAGCTCGAGGTTGGCGAAGTTGAGGTTGACTTTGATGTTGACGCCATTGTCGAGAACCGCGTCAACTACAACGTCATTGCCGAGACCAAGGGCGGTGACCATGACAACGTCCTCGTCCTCGGAGGCCATTCCGATTCTGTTGTTGCTGGTCCCGGTATCAAGTGAGTATTCTTTGCGTAGACATTTGCTTTGCCAGACGGGAGCTAACAGTACCCCAGCGATGACGGCTCCGGTTCCATCGGTGTCCTGAACGTGGCCGTCGCCCTGTCCCACTTCAAGGTTAAGAACGCTGTTCGCTTTGCGTGGTGGGGTGCTGAGGAGTACGGCAAGCTTGGCTCGTACTACTACGTCAAGCAGCTCAACAGCTCCGATACTGAGCTCGCTAAGATGAGGGCCTACCTCAACTTCGATATGGTACGCAAGCCAAGTCCTCGATGACCAAGTACTATCTACTAATGTTCGCTCGACAGATTGCTTCGCCCAACTACGTCTACGGCATCTACGATGGAGATGGCGGCGCCTTCGGCTTGACCGGCCCCGCTGGCTCTGATGTTATCGAGAAGGACTTTGAGGAGTTCTACGAGGCCAACGGAGCCGCTCACGTGCCTTCTGAGTTCAGCGGCCGCTCTGATTACGCCGCTTTCATCGAGAACGGCATCCCCTCCGGAGGTCTCTTCACCGGTGCCGAGGTCCCCAAGACCGAGGAGGAACAGCGTCTCTTCGGCGGTGAGGCTGGCGTCGCGTATGATGTCAACTACCACAAGGCCGGAGACACCGTAGACAACCTGAACAAGGAGGCCTACCTGCTCAACACCAAGAGCATTGCCAACTCTGTCGCCAAGTACGCCCTCAGCTTTGAGTCCCTCGGCCCTGTCGACATGAACCAGAGGCGCTGGGCTGCGGATCGTGCCCAGTTCACCAAGCGTGAGGGCGCCCACGAGCACACCCACTCCGGCCCTTGCGGCGGCGGCGTTAGCAAATAGACCTTTCGCAGCATGTGGTCGACGGGACCTGTCACGAGTCACGTCCACGAACTAGCTACGATGTAGATGTAATGCTAATGAGAGATGATGTACAATTATTCTTCTGATCACCACACTTGTGAAATGAGCACACGTGACCCTCGAGTTGAGTGTCAAGATTCGCCCCTCAGCGATCATATAAACGCACGGCCAGGTGCTAGATTGTGCAGCGGCTGATATTGCTGTCGAGTTTAGAAGCGGATTAAGAAGCGATGACCAGGTTAATGACCACGTAACGGACACGGCTAAAATGAGCTTTGACCTCAAGTCCTGTTGCAAGGTAGCAAACATGTTTCTAGTGGTTATGCGTTTGAGTCCATTTCATTGGTAGATTTCAGGAGAAGCGAATAGGAGCATTGGCAGCAAGACCATCATCGGTGTGGTCGCCAGCGACTCGATGGCAGGTATCGCCACTTGCTCATGTGACCCGTCACGAAATACTGGGTACCCGACATGCCCAGCTCGACGGACTCTCTTGATGTTCACAGATGTGTGGTATCACACCAAAGACGTCGACAATATGACACACATCCAGTCACCGACTCGTCGGTCGAACAACATTGATTTCACTTCCTCGTGGCGGATAGCCCGTGGAGCCCTCAAGATAAACGATGATGGGAGAGGAGAAGCACACCGCATGAGCGCAAGATAGACCCATAGCATGGCCTGTGCAGGGTTGCAGTGATCTAGAACACTCTACACGTACGTGCCCAGCGTGTCTCGACCTCGTTTGCTTACCCATCGTGTCGAGAGCCTATTTGATGGGCGATCTACTATGGGGACCGAAGTGATAGGTCACACAATTTGGCGTCCTTCGGTATGGTCCACCACGAAAGAGCGATGGATTGAGGGGTTATGAGGGGGAATTCTTCCATGCGAAAGGAGTTGGTTTCTTCGGCCTGATCTGACTTTGGCTGCAGGCACCTAGCGGCGAGAATTTAAGGGGGAGGGGGAGGGGCGAATGCGCGCGTGGAGAAAGATCCCCCGCGCTGTCACGGCTTTGGCACTGCTTCGGTTCAAAGGCGCATGAGGCTGGTGAGGTGGCTAGCACGCTGTGCATCGCTAGAAACAGTAGGTCAATGGTAGGCAGTTCTCGGGCGGTACATATGAGGGAGATTCAGATGCTATTTACGGCCTTGTCATGACGTGTGCAACGAATCTAGAACTCCGAATGGCATGTCAGAGCATTCAGCGGTGGATTTATAGGAGGGTCAATGTGAGCCCAGGGGATCCGAGATGAGGGGCGCAAGGGTGTGCGGCGCGCTCTGGTGGGGAGCACGGGATAAGCCAGCGAAGAGCACCAGAGACGCACACGGCACGAGTCATATGGCTTGGCCCGCCTAGGCTCAATCCTGTTTCCAATCCTTCCCGCAAGCTTAACTCTCGCCATTGAACACCGCCCGACAGATTGGCCTTGAAGATCGGAATTGCGGGTATCACAGCTGCTTGCCATCCCATCAGCCACGTTGATGCGAGCCCAGCTACAACATCTCATAGCGATCGGTATGGGTCATCTAGGTAGGGACAGAACTGTCATCCTGCCCGATGCAACTGCCGCCGCGCCTTCCTGACAATGGCAAGCGGCTCGAATGAGAGTTTCAAGATCGAGGCACCAGGCCACGTTCCTGAACTAGACCTCTCTTGGAGTAGCGTCATCGGGAGTATTCAAGTCTGTGTAGGAGACGAGACGAAGGAACCCTGCCTTTCCGGACACTGGGCCAGAAGCGAAATAATACGGCGAGCGGAGTAGACCTGATGGTAAATACGGCAGAGGCGCCAAACCTGGCCTGGTCAGAAGCCAATGGTTGGAGTTGGGGGATCTTCAGATTGTAGGACATCAGATAGGCTGGACATTTGGGTTACATTCAGTTGCATCCAGCGGAGCAGTGCTTGCATAAGCTCTCACGGTGCCTTCAGCCCTTTGCTGTAAGTGGCTTGAATCAATGCCGAACAAGTGCTGTGCATGTGCAGCCTTTTTTAATATTTGTTTTTCCGGCTAGGTGAGGCTGTCACGGGGCCTGTGGTCCTTCGGAAGTCTGGCTCCAGTTCTCAGAATAGGTAACTTTTTGTGCTGCCCAGGTTCCGATACCGCAGGTCGCCATGCTTGGATTGGTAGCTTGTCATGACATAAGTGGTTTGTGGTGAAAGGAAGCGGTAGTGGTCGGATCATTATATGGCAGAGCCCATATCTACCTGGGTAACGGGAGACGCGGCAACGAGGCTGTTCGGCCGTCTTCGTCATGCTGATTTTGGCGACAGGAGCCAATCCAACAAGAACTCTTCAGAAGTGTACGACTCTTGACGGGCGAGGGCTGCTGTGCGTAGATGACATGATCGGCACTTCCTGTGAGCTGGCCTTAACCTCAGCGAAGCTTCTACCAGCGTTTGGTCCATGGTCTTGGGTCTGGGACTTCTGGCGAGATGAAGACTCGTAATGGGCTTGCTTTAATCCCACAATGCTGGGTTCCAATGCTGAGGCGAGTCAAGCACCGCTTACCCCAGATCTTTCTCTGTGAATCAGGAGCACCACCGTCTTGACTTTCTGATATCGAGTCCACCGAGTCCACTCGAGAAACCCCACCCTGCCTCTATCGTGCGTCGTCGTCGTCGTCGAGGACAGGTGCACGCGAGACACACAAGAGGGGAGAGCCGTGGGCATCTGGCACAGAAGTGGAGTGCCGGTGCTGTTCCTGTTACAGTGGGCAAGTGGGTTCGAAAGTGGCGCGGCGTTTAGCACGCGCACTAAGGCAACCCCTGAAAGCGGTGCAGCTTTGGTGTGGTGTTTCAGAATCCCTCAGTAGTCGTGCTGCGGGCCATGTGCCTGTGACAAATGCTTGTGCTTGTACCTGTGACAGAGCCTGCGCTTCGGCCTGTGCCTGTGCGAATCCCAGGCGCTTTCTCCCTCGTCTTCCCTTGTTCTTGTGAGAGCACCCCTCACTAGTCGTTGCCCCTCCAGCTCCTGCTGCCGCCTGCGCTCGCAGGCTCAACAGAGAGAAGCATCGTCTGGATGCATCTACCTAGGTACCTTGCCTTCCTTACCTGAAGCACCTAAGGTACCTTACCCTAGGTACCTAGATACCTTAGGTAGCCAGGTAGATTGGTGCCTGCATAGCTGCCCCGTCACCAGCAAAAGAACGTTTGTTGTAAGCAGAACAATCAGCAGCCTCGGACCACCCGTCGAATCTTCTTGTTACTTGCCATATGCCAAGCACCTAGGTAGAGTGTACACTCCCAGACATCAAAGAGTCAAAAAGTGGAAGACAAAGTGCCAAAAGATCCTCGATCTCTGAACACACCATGTGTACCCACAGCTTTGCACATCTCTGAGCAAGGGAGACTTGGTATTTCCTCGCAGTCCCCACGGCCTGGAGGCCAGACACAATCATTCAACCGTATCGCATTTGCGCGCTTCATTCGCACCCGCTACCCTGCGCACTATCATCGACTGCCTACAGCAAGAAACCACACGCCTGCCTCGGGCTCCACCTGGCGCTTCTCCAGGCTCATCTTGGATCGCTATCTATCCCTCCGCGCCAGCCTGTTCTTCGACGTGAGCTGTCTTGCCTTGCCCATCCAGCGGGTTGTCTCGTGTCTCCCTGACCCTGACCCTGACCCTGACCGGCCCTGGTCCCGACCCTGGCCCTCTCACTTTCTGCTGCTCTCCTCCGAGGACCCTGCACAACACCTTGAACAGAAGCACCTACCTCAGTGCCCGACACTTGCTCCCTCGCGGCATTCTTCGTGGCCCCGGGCAGCAATCTGGCAAGCCACGCCATTCCCGCCTGTTTCTGCCAGGTCAGTCGTTGCCTTGGCTTTGGGACCGCTGCTACATCATCTTTTCGATTCCCTATACCTGGCCTCTGGACGTCAACCCCCAATTTGACTTGACTCGTCCTCTGACCGATATCAATTTTCTTGCATTGTTGTTGCTCTCATGGCTACGCCCCTCTCCCAGTCTGCCTTGGAATCCTAACACCGGACCACCCCTGGATTCTCTTCCGAGCCCAGCAGACGGATTCACCATCACACACGTCCCAGCGCAGCGCGCGCCCAATTCGAGACATCACCTAACCCCCTCCTGCGGCGCCCCTACGAATCAGGCCTAACCCTTCCATACGAATCTCGGACCTCAAGCCTTGGACCTGGACCTCACCTGCCTGGCCAGGACCTTGACACACACATACACGCACACACACGCACACACATACCGGCACCTCTTTGTATCGAACTGCAGGTTGTGGGAAGCCGCCTGTACCTCAATCACCAGCAGCGCCTAGCTGCCTGTCCCAGTCCAGACAGTTCAAACCAACTCCACCACCGCCAGGCAAAGCAAAGCGAGGAAAGCAAAGCGCTGCATAAAACAGCGTACCACCGCAGAGCACTCCCAGTAGGGTGAGGCACCAGCCAAAAATGGCACGCAAACCCGTACCGCAGCCGCTGACGCTGTCGGGTCACTCCGCCCTGCCCGAGGACGAGCACCACCCGCGCTCCGCTGAAACCCTCCAAGTCGTCTCTCTCCCGAGCGCAGATTCCCACCGCTCGTCCCCCAGAACACCACGTTCCCCATTCAGTAGATTCTCGCCCAAGAAACCCGACTCGGCTTCTCTCAATGCTTCCGCCTCCCACGCTCATTCGCGCGCCCTCGAAGACTTTGACGACGACGACGACGAAGACCCCCAACACTACCCCCCGATCACCTCTGCGCTGCATCAGCCTGCCGAGACTCCCACTCGGCCAAATCCTCGCCCTGCCCCTCGACACGAGCCCAACACCACGCAGCCATCCCAGCCCCGCGATCAGGGTCGCCCCTCCAAGAGCGGCTTCTTCTTCAATTTGACAAAGTCGTCCAAATCGACCCAGAAACAATCCACTCAGCAGCAGGAGCCGCCACAACAACAACAACTACAGCATCAGCACAGACGCTCCGAGTCGCGGGGCGAGATCGCATCGCGAGGCACTGACACCTCTGTCCCCAGCAGCAAGTCTGCGAAGCTTTCAGGTACGGGCAATTGCACGCGCGCGTGCGCGTTCCTTGAACCCCCCCCCCCCCCTTCGTGCTGAAACCGCTCTCCAATGCGACAGTGCATGCGACAGGCACGGCGCGGGTCCCATCTCCAGGCCACTTGCCCTGGCGTCTCGTTTCGCTCTTCACGATGCCTTCTTTGCGCGCACCTGCTAACTGTGTACATTCTGCGCCGCAGACACCTCTCTTCCGGAACGTTCTGCTCAGCAGTCTTCCACCTCTCATCTTCCTCCATCCAACCTAACTCATTCCTCCACGGGAGAATACACCACCAGCGCCTCCCAAAGTCATCTGTCTAAGAAGAACAAGCCCAAACCATTTGGATTACTGGGACGGACCAAATCAGCCCGTGACAGGAGCTTCCTACTCCCAGTCCCAAAGAGCACCGCCAGACGATCCACTCCCCAGTCCAGGCTATAGAATCTACGAGGGCACCTCTAGGCAACAATAGTCCAGGCCTCATGGCGCGACCACAGGGGGCCGATAGGTCATTCAGCAGCAACAGCACGAACAAGATGAACTCCGCCGCAAGAAACAGGTCAGAAGACCGTGCTCCGCCTCTACCACAACGAGACCAGAGTAACAAAGAGAACCAGCGTGACAGAGAACCGTCGCGACAACACGCATCACCTTCTGTTCGCGACAATGGAAGCTTCTTCGGTGGGCTGAGGAACCTCAAAGCCGCAGACATGATTAGCAAAGGACTATTCGGCAAGAGCATACGTAGTGGAAGCACTACGGAGCGGGAGCCCATCATTGATGACGAACATTATGTTTTGAAGGTCATCAACCTCCCTTTAGTGGAACAGACCCGGAGGACGCGCATATCACGGAAGCTGGAGGATTCTAGGGATAAGACCGAGTTCTGGATGCCAGCGTTTCCCTGGCGCGCGATTGACTACCTCAACTACAAGGGCTGCGATGTTGAAGGTCTCTACCGAGTTCCGGGCAGCGGGCCTCAAATCAAGAAGTGGCAAAGGAGATTTGATGAAGGTTTGTCTGACTGGGATCCCCTTGCGGAATCGAAACTAACTGGCGTCTAGAACTGGATGTCAATCTGTTTGAGCAGGACGATCTGTACGACATCAACATTATCGGCTCCATGCTCAAGGCCTGGTTGCGCGAGCTTCCCGATGAACTCTTCCCCAAGGCCGCTCAGGAGAGGGTTGCCAAAGAGTGCGCTGGTTCTGACAAGGTTCCTCAGTTGCTGATCGACGAACTCTCCAACCTCTCGCCCTTCAACTATTACCTGCTCTTCGCCATCACCTGTCATCTCAGTCTCTTGCTCGCACATTCAGACAAGAACAAGATGGACTTCCGCAACTTGTGTATTTGCTTTCAGCCGTGCATGAAGATTGACGCATTCTGCTTCCGGTTCTTGGTTTGCGATTGGCGCGAGTGCTGGAGAGGCTGCAAAGCTGAGGCGAGATACATCGAAGAGGAGTACCTGCTACTGAACCAACCCCCTCCACGGGGTGTCTCCGAGTCACGCAAACCTGTCCCCGACGAGCAGCTCCCGGCAACCAACGACGAGCGTGCGGTCGACCGGGCCGTCTCGTCGTCAGACAGCAGTAAACAATCGAGTCAGAGCCAGGACCAACAACCCAAGACGCGGCTGAAGAAAAAGGCCCTACCACTCTCCGACTCGCATGGCTCTAATGGTAGCGTCGGGTCCAACTTGACCATGTCGACAACGCTCACCATTAATAGCGACCAAGATACCCCAAGGGGCTCAGGAGATCTTCGGCCACTGTCGCCCATCAAGCCACTGTCGCCCCTCGGTTTCTGAGTCCCTGCATCCCCTGGATACGCGTCTGTTTTCTTGTCTGATTTTCTACTACAATACCCGGGCGGCATTGCATGTACATGGCTCAGCACCAACACAACGACGACACGACGCCTGGCTACTGTATTTCTGATGGCTACGACGATTCGGGCAATACGTGTTCAGCTCACTCGCATCAAAGGTGTATCCTCTGCTCAAGGCTTAGCTGCAGCGTCGTCCACCGTTGTCTTGGCCTATCCGAACTCCTCGACGGGGCGCTAGACTATGTGCACTCACGTAGTGCTGGCTTTGTGATTTCTGTCTCCTCCCTTCTGGTCTCTTGGCCGTGCGTGTTTTCTAAAACTGCGTTTTGTCACGAGAGTTTAGCGATGTTTCTTCATGTTTGGCAAAGGCGCGCGGATAACAGAGGAGCGGTGTGCATTTGGAGAATGCTATACAATGCGTGATATTGGGTGGCACGAAAAGAGCGAGCGCATGCAACGTGAGGTTGGGCGGTCTGTTGATGGATTTATGTATAATACAACATGAGGAGTTGCTGCGGAAGCTGGTGGACGGGATAATGGCGGCATGGGGGCAACTATCCGAGCCTCCCTCCTGGTGGTGGATGAATCGAGATGAGCCGATTGTCGTCTTTCGTTGACCTGTTGGCTACAAGTGACATGTTCTACTTGATCACGTTGGCTGCACATCATGCCTCGGCACGCTGACGCGGACTGAGATGTAGATGGACAAGACGATTTTGCTGGTATCAGAGCAAGCCTTTGAAGGATGAAAAACCGGGGTACATTTTTCCCGTCCCAACGCCGAAACACCGCAATGCCATCCATCCCATGCCGCCGCCTACATGCGCCCATTCGCTGGCACCCTCCTCTGAGGCAAGCGCCCTTCCGGGGACGGCAACGGCCCTTTCTCCCTGCCGAGCAGCGACCACGACCTATTTCTTCCCCGTCTGCATCGACTCGCGCGCGTTCTTCCTCTGCTTCCGCTCGTTCCTCCTGACCTTCTCCTTCCTCTCGCGCCGCCCGTCGCCGCGGATCTCGGTGCCGGCCTTGCGCTGCGCCTCGGCGGCCGGGTCGACCTCGACGAGCCAGTCGTTCTCGCCCTTCTTGTTGAGGCCCTTGTATCCCCACTTGCGGGCCCACTCGCCCGTGTCCTCGTCGAAGGCGAGGTTGCGGCGCTGCTCGCGCGTCTTGGGCTTGATGCCGCGCTTGGCGGCGAAGCGCTCCCACTTTGTCGGCTCCTTGGCCTTGGGCACAGGCAGCTCGCGGGGCAGAGGGGTCGAGGGCGGGGGCAGGGTCAGGAGGACGCCATCGGCGGTGGCCGTGATGGGGCAGGCGGTCATGAGCTGGTTGATGATGACTGGATACATGTCAGTATTGTGGACACTATGAAGTGTTTGGTTGCTGGCAGGGACGTCGCACCCTGGGCGCCATCGCGGGCAATGCTGGCAAGGTCTTCCTCAATGTTGGACGAGGTGATCTTGAAGGGGTTGGGGTCCGTGGCCTGGAGGAGGCCGAGGTCGAAGTAGTACGGTGTCGCACGGTCGACAGTTACGGAAAGCTTTGCTTTCGAGTCGGTGGTCGCCATTGTGAAGGAGGTCGTCGTCGACGTTCGGGAAAAGAGCTCTTGACGGTACGCCGGTGGTTGGTTCAGACGGGCAGCCGCGGGCGGCGGGCGGGCAAATGGTCGTGAACTTTTCTGGGACTGAAATTTTGGAGGGTCGAAAGTGGTGATAAGATAACGAGACGGATCAGCTAGCGCCGAATTACCGGCTGAGCTGCCACAGCCAATGGTCGGTCAGTATTGCGGCGCTCCACCACGCGATCCGGGGGTGCACCTATCGTCTCGAGATTTCCTCCTCAACGTCCAAGCTGTAGATCCAAATTCTGGCGTCCGAGCCTCGACGAGCCACCGGTCCGACCCCGAATGGACTCGTAGCACCCCCAATCGACATCCCCTACGATCTAGAAACTCGGCCACAATGGCGTCTGTCAACTGCACACGGTGCCTGACGCGGCCAACCTCCGGCCTGCGCCTGGCCGACCGCATTACCCCCATCATCACATGGACCGCCCCCTTCACGACGACAACAGCCGCCGCCGCCGGGCCGTCCAAGGTTGTCGGCAATAAGCCTCGCCAGGTGATCGGAAAACACATCCGCAAGGGCAAGGTTGGCCAGAATTCCAAGAAGAAGCGCGAGGTCGTCCGCTTCAAGAAGCCCGAGCCGGGCGAGCGCAAGGCTTTCCGTAAGCGTATCCAGCTTAGCAACAACAACGCCGCAGTCGTCACAGGCTTGCCCGTCGCCGATGCCGCCGCCATGGTCAGCAAGGAAAACCTCGGTCGCATCATCGGCATGCCCGACAAGCTCATCGACCAGCTGCGCGCCCTCGAATCGTTCAAGACTACGCAGAACTGGGGCCTGTTCCGCAAGCCGCACATGCTCGTCAGGAAGGAGACGGTGCAGATGATGGAGAGGTTGAACGAGGCGGCGGCGGAAAAGCAGACGCTGAGCACCGTCTTGACGGGTGAGCGCATCTCGGGCAAGAGCTTGCTGTTGATGCAAGCGATGTCCCACGCCCTTCTCAACAACTGGGTCGTCATCCACATCCCCGAAGGCGAGTACTCTCGACCCCCCCCCCCCCTTCTCTCTCTCCGTTTGGAATATCTACTGACAGCTCAGCAGCCCAAGACCTCACCAATGCGCACACTGAGTACTCGCCCGTGCCTCAGACAACCCCCGTCGAGTTCACTCAACCCGTCTACTGCTTCCACCTTCTACAGACGATCATTAAGGCAAACCACGACATCCTCGCCCAGTACAAGGCCTCGAAGAACTATAGCCACCTGCAGCTCCTCCATCTCCCTGAGGACCCCACGCTCGCCGACCTCATCACTGCTGCGAAGGAGCCTGATTACGCCTGGCCCGTCCTCAAGGCCCTCTGGTACGAACTGACTGCCGTCCCTGGCCGCCCGCCCGTCCTCCTCGGCCTCGACGGCCTCTCCCACATTATGAAGATCAGCGAATACCGCGACCCGTCCTTCAACCTCGTCCACTCTCACGATCTGACCCTCGTCCGCCTCTTCACTGACGCTCTCTCGGGCAAGACTCCCTTCGCCAACGGCGGCGCAGTCATTGGCGCCACGAGTCGCAGCAACGCTCCTCGCTCGCCGAGCATGGACCTCGCGCTCGCCCGCTCGTCCGCAGCCGCCGCCGGCAAACACTTGCCCACGGCAGACCCCTACCGCAAGGACTATGATGCTCGCGTGCACGAGGTCCTCGAAAAGGTCGACGTCTTCCACGTCGATAATGTCTCCAAGGCCGAGGCCCGTGCCGTCATGGAGTATTGGGCCGCCAGCGGCATGCTGCGGTCTCTCGTCAACGAGACGACCGTCACGGAGAAGTGGACGCTCGGTGGCCAGGGCGTCATCGGAGAGATTGAGCGTGCCGCGCTGCTGCATTCGCGCATTTAGAGCGGCTTGTCACTCTGTAGAGTTAGATGTACCATGGTCTCTGGCATGTATACTGTATCATATGGATGGTTTCTGTTTCATCTCGTTCGTCTTCCTGCTTTCAAGTGATATGTCATTAATGTGCTGCTCTGACGATGGAGTTTGCCATTTTCCCCCTTGCGACAAAGCTCTGCGGCGAATTAGCGACTTGGTTCTTGTTCCGTGTCGGTTGCGGATGTTTTTCGTGCTAAGCTTGCGGTGTTGATCTGACATCAATATCGTGCTACATGTCGTTGGGTCCCTGTGGTCATGTTCAGGGGACAAATTTCATCACTGTCACCCCCATGCACACAGCTCTGTGGAAGGGCCTCAAGCCCCCTGTGCAATGACCTCGAAGTCGACACATAAGATGACGACAGCCAGTTCGGCTATGCCATAGCTGCTCCAGTGTTCTACTGGTATCAGAGACAGCTGGGAAAACACTCAAGACTTGCCCACAGTCCACGATGCTGCTCAACTCCACTACGAGCCGTATGAAGATCTTCATTCCCTTTGCCCCCTTCATGCCGTGCTCCATAGCCACAACCAGCTTTTCGCTTAGATTATCTCAAACACACAAGCAAAATGACATAGAAACTAACGAAAGGGGTCTGCAAACGAGGAAGGAAGGAATTGTACCTTTTCTAAGTACACTCATAGATGGTGCGCAGATCCTGGGAAACCGGTTGACGCGCATTATGAACCGGGGCTTTTCAAAAGTGCATCATTTCGATCTCGCAGTACAACTTCAATTTCATCACACAACAGGTTTGAGCCTGGGCCTTGATTGTGTTGCGGTAACCAGGGCATGCGTTAGAGGGTGCTCGTACTTGAGGCATCATGATAGTGGAGAGCTGCAGCGCCCGCGATCTGCTTCGAACGCCTACTCCTCTGAGTTTGACTGAAGAGGAACCGCTCTAACAAGCGCAAAGTATTCTGCATCATGTATTGACACTCTTCTCTTGCAGCATACCTTGTAGTAGACAGGCTTTACTCCATGATATACCTAGTCGAACAGACAAGATTGAAGGCCAGTAGCCGTGCCCACAGACGGATGCTTCCAGTTGAGAAATATTTATTCAGCCTTACTCGTCTAGACGGGGTCTTGGGACTCTGTTTCAATATCTCCCTGCTGTGCTCCCCCTCAGGTCCTTGATGATGTGTGAGCAGACTTTCAACCATATCACGTTATATGCATATAAACCCCCGATGGCCACCAGCGTGGTGCGGCTTCAGATGTGACAGGTACACATGTCTGATCCAAATACTTCTACAAGCCGAGATCACGCGATCCATGCCCCAATAGACACGAAAATAACTGGTTATGCCAAATTTATGAGTAATTCCTCGCGCATTCGCCGCCCTTGTCAATTCTGCCTGCATGTGTGATCATCTTTCCCTGGTGAAAGATGACATATAACGCGAGGCGCAACGCTGGAAGCTAGCCAAGTGAAATGACTACAATGGTCATTTTGATAGATCTTGTGCTTGCAATCGGGGTCGAAACCGTTTGAAGGCAATTTGACCCAGGCCCAATGAGAATGGGCAGCCGGAATACCTTAGACTTCCATACCTTACCTTACAAAGGGGGAGGATGGTAGTAGCCACATTCGTGGTCCATCTTTGGCTTAGTCACAATCCTATTAAACCTGCAGTGGTGGGCGCCTTCCCACGCGACGCGAGAAAACGCGTCTTCTCGCGTTACCAGCATTCCAATTTGTGAGACTGGGCAACCCCCTGGCAACCAACAACCAGCGACGTCCATCCAATCCATCCCGTCCTCCATCCCGCATCTCAGCCCCCCACCGACAGAGCTTCTTGCGACGCGCATTTCTCCTTGTTGCATTTGGCATCGCATCGAGCGGCTCCATCTCCTTCTCTGACGGATCACAAGCTCTGCCGACAGTATCTGCCCATCCACAACTCACGATGGCGCTCCGTCAATTCAAGGCGCCAGTCCAGTACGAGGCACAGCTCGGTACACTTCCCCGCGATTCAGCATTGACATGGCGACAAGTACTGACTACAACCACTGCAGCCGCCTTCGAGTCATTCCTCAAGGACTTCAAAGCCACTCCCGAGCAGACCATCACACATGCCCTCGGCAACGTAACAATAAATGAGGATGACTTTGACGAAGATGACGATGTCATGGAGGACGACGAGGTTGCGGAGGAGAGGCGCCGCCGCCAGAAAGAGGCGCGCACTCCCCAGCCAAAGTATCAGATTATCCTGCAAGAGCTGGCAGATCGCAAGATCAACGAGGTCATGCTAGACCTGGACGACCTTCACGGGGTCAGTATTTCCCAATGCGCTGTGCATCGAGCAATGAACTCACACAGAATCTAGTGGGAGAAGTCATTGGAAGCCGACACAGGCGAGCGCCTCAAGCTGGTCGAGTCGGTCGAACTGAATACCAAGCACTATGTCGAGATTTTCTCGAGAGCCATTGACTCGCAGATGCCGGCGCCAACGAACAAGGAGTCGTACGTCTGGCCCCTCGCGACTCGACTGCTCCAATTATACATTGCTGACACGTGAAAAGCTTCAAGGAAGACGTTCTCGATGTTGTCATGAGGCGGCGAGAAGAACATAACCAGGCCATGGATGTGGCTGTCGCGAATGGCGATCTTCCTGCCGCTGCCGAGCGCTTCCCCGCAGAACTGACGCGCCGCTACACCCTGGCTTTCAAGCCCCGGACCCAAACTGTCGATCACGAATCTAAGGCCATGGCCGTCCGTGACGTCCGCGGCGAGCACCTGGGCCACCTCATCACGGTCCGCGCCATCGCAACCCGAGTGTCCGACGTCAAGCCTGTCGTCTCCGTCAGCGCCTACTACTGCGAGGGCTGTGGCAGTGAAATCTTCCAGCCTGTCACCGACAAGCAGCACACTCCCTTGACCATGTGTCCCTCGGAGACGTGCAAGAAGAACCAGTCGCGCAGCCAACTGCAACCATCATCGAGAGCGTCCAAGTTCCTCCCCTTCCAGGAGGTTAAGGTTCAGGAAATGGCTGAACAGGTTCCCATTGGCCAAATCCCTCGAACACTCACTGTTCTCTGCTACGGTTCCTCCGTACGCAAGGTGAACCCTGGCGACGTTGTCGACATATCCGGCATCTTCATGCCCACTCCCTACACTGGCTTCAAGGCTATGAAGGCTGGCCTCCTCACCGACACATACCTCGAGGCTCACTACATTCTGCAGCACAAGAAGGCCTACTCCGAGATGATCATTGATCCCGCGCTTGTGCGGAGGATCGAGCAGTACAGGCAATCTGGACAGGTGTACGAGCTGCTTGCCAAGTCGATCGCTCCCGAGATCTACGGTCACGTTGACGTCAAGAAGGCTCTCCTGCTGCTCCTCATCGGTGGTGTGACGAAGGAGGTCAAGGACGGCATGAAGATTCGTGGTGACATCAACGTCTGCCTTATGGGTGACCCTGGTGTGGCCAAGTCCCAGCTGCTCAAGTACATCTCAAAGGTCGCGCCGCGCGGCGTGTACACTTCTGGTCGTGGTAGCAGTGGCGTCGGTCTCACGGCCGCCGTCATCCGTGACCCAGTGACTGACGAGATGGTCCTTGAGGGCGGCGCCCTTGTGCTCGCCGATAATGGTATCTGCTGCATCGATGAATTCGACAAGATGGACGATAACGACCGCACGGCTATCCACGAAGTCATGGAACAACAGACCATCTCCATCTCCAAGGCCGGCATCTCCACCACTCTCAACGCGCGCACCTCGATTCTTGCCGCAGCTAACCCTCTTTACGGCCGATACAACCCCCGCCTCTCACCTGTCGAGAACATCAATCTCCCCGCCGCCCTTCTTTCGCGTTTCGATATCATGTTCCTGATCCTTGACACGCCGAACCGCGAGTCCGACGCCCAGCTTGCCAAGCACGTCGCCTACGTGCACATGCACTCTCGCCACCCCCCCGTCGCCGGTGAGGACGATGTAATTTTCAGCCCTCATGAAGTCCGCTCCTACATTGCCCAGGCGCGCACCTACCGCCCAGTCGTCACGGCGGGCGTCATGGAATACGTCAGCAAGACGTACGTCCGCATGCGCGAGGCCCAGCGCCGCGCTGAGAAGAAGGGCGAGCAGTTCACCCACGTCACGCCGCGAACTCTTCTCGGCATCATTCGCATCGCCCAGGCCCTCGCGCGCCTGCGCTTCAGCAACCTCGTGGAGCAGGACGACGTGGACGAGGCGCTGCGTCTGCTCGAGGCCTCCAAGGAGTCGCTCGCCGCCGACCAGGGCACTGGCCGCCAGAGGCTCAACCCCAACAGCAGAATCTACAACATGGTCAAGGCGCTGGCCGACAGTGGCGCATGCAGGCCTGACGACGCGGACGAGGACGACGAGTACGGCGTGCTGAGCTTGAGGAAGGTCAAGGAGAGAGTCATCGCCAAGGGCTTCACGGAGGACCAGTGGCTCGCCGCGCTGGAGGAGTACAACAGCCTCGATGTGAGTATACCCTCTTCCACCACACGTGACCCGATCGTACTGACACGGCCGACAGGTCTGGCAAACTGCTGGCAACATGACGAGACTCGTGTTCATCAACGCCTCTGGCAACGATGCCGAGCGTGAGGGCAGTGAGGATGCTTAAGGGGCGGGGTCCATGCACAGGGGCTTGTCTCTTTCCTGAGCCTTGCTTGGGGTGATGTTGACGGGTTTTGTTTTCGGGGGTCTGGCGTTGGGATAGGGAAATTCGATCTTTGTTAGGTGATGAGTAGCCTCTCCGTTGGCGAATGCATGTCGAGTAGACACGATTGCATTCCTTCTTTTGTTTGACCGCCGGGCCGTCGTCCGAAGCAGGTGCGTGATGGGCACGTCATTTTTTTGACTCCCCATTCTGTTAAGAAGATGATCCTCGGGCAAATGACCAGTCCCGCGCGTGACAGATTCCAGCGCGCTGCCTACGGAACAATTAGGCTGTGTGCGAGACACCAGCCAAGGCTAAGAGCTTTGGTTCTCTAGTATGCGGACTTCCATCCCAGAAAAAGAATGCAATGCAAAACCAAACCTAGCCCGATCATATTGGTGCATCCTCATGTGCCACTCACTGCAAGTAGTGTTTGCATGTAGCAAACCACCCGTAAACCAGGATGCCATCAAGACGCTCCACAATCCGGAGGAGTAGAGCAGTAGTCGTCAGAAAGAAGAGAGCCACGAAAAGCGAGCAGAGAAGTGGAAAGTGGGCAGTGTCGATAAGTCTTGGGTACCTATCCTAGGTACCTTACCTATCCTAGGTACCTTAAAAAAGGTAGATGAAGATGCCCTGACGACCTGTATCTTCAGTGGCCGTCAAGGGGATGGGAGCCGTAACACCGAGTTCGCTGACTAAGACCGGGGTCGCTGCCTGTACCCCGCAGAACCCCAAGCTGCAGGCAGTCTCAGGACCCACTGCTGCTAGCCAGTCCCGAAGATGCCTCGGCGGTCGGCACATGCAACCGGTCGTGTTCTGCATCGCAAGGTTCCGACTCGAAGCTTGACTGACGATCACCACGAGCTTGAACGCGACGTTTGCTTGAGCATGCCTCTTGCTTCAAACACCGACTCTTAACACTCCAAAACAGGGCGCTGTATCACCCTGCCATAACTCACAATGGCACCCCGCAAGAACGCCCAATCCACACCAGCCGAGTTGTCGCTCGTTCACCTGCGCAACTGTCTCGTCAACCTCCCCTCCTCGCTGGTCTCCCTCTTGGTCAATATCAATACTGTATGTTACCTCAAGGGCAACAACAGGACATTGCGCTGATACCTCATAGCCTGCTCAAAATGTAGTGGTCGAGCTCTCCTACCGAACCCCCCCGTCGGGCGGTGCCCATTCCACCCCGCCGCAGTCCATCTTCGTCGGCTGGACAGGCATGCCCAGCAAGCGCAAGGTCACACCCGTTGTTGGACGCGACGGCATCAATGGCATCAGGGGGAACCCATCCTCTCGCGACCAGGACATTGGTCTTGTCGAGATAGACGCGACCCTCGCCAATACCCTCGGCCTGACCGACGGCCAGAAGGTCACAGCCTCGATTCACGTCGACCCTCCGCTGGTCCACACCATCAACCTTGAGCCTCTGACTCCCGAAGACTGGGAGATTATTGAGCTTCATGCCACATTTCTGGAGCTCAACCTCCTTTCCCAGGTCCGCGCACTGCCGAATCCAGCCTTCAAATCCGCTTCAGGCCAGCCCGTGCCAGCCCACGCCTTGACTCTGCACCTTTCTCCGACCTCCACCGCGCGTATAAAGACAATCTCCCTCGACCCTCCTCCGCCAGCAGACTACCCATTCGCCAAGATTTCTCCCGACGCCGAGGTCATCGTCGCTCCCAAGACCCGCCCGAAAACGACCCAGTCCTCGTCCGAGAACCGCAGCGTTGCCAGCACGTCCAAGTCGCGCCGTAGCGGCACCAGCTCCGGCCGTAAGAAGAGCACGCGCGAGCGCAAGAACAAGATCACCCTCCGGGGTGTCGACAGGAATACGTGCCTCGACTGGTTCGAAGAGGAGGTCATGGCGCCTGACTTCAGCATCTGGGTCGACCACGATCTACTGCATGCGCGGGGCTTCAATGGCGTCAACTATGTGCTGGTGACCGTGCTGCGCGAGTCTGGGAGCGTGGCGAACACGACTCGCCCCCAGGCGGACGACCCAGCGCCGGTGACTTCGCATGTGGCGACAAAAGTGGTCGCCCACCTGCGTGCGTGGGATGATCCGCCGGACAGCAAGCCTGCTGCTCTGTCATCGCCTCTATGCGCGGCCTTGGGCTTCACCGGCATGGTTGGTGGTATCATTGAGATAGAGGCAGCCTCGCAGCCTGTGGGTCGAGACGCGGTGCAGAAGCTCGCTGTCTATCCTTTTGCCACATCCAAAAAGACGAGCGAGGGCCTCAAGTTTGGTTCGGAATCCAAGGCCGAGAAGGAAGAAGCTGCAAAGACGTTCAGACACATCTATGCGGGCTCTCAGAAGGCCTCGTCACTCCTTGCGGGTCCTCTCACTGATGGCACGCTGTTCGGGTTGTACGACGGCCTCGAAAGCCCCCAGGGCTGGGAGGGTGGTGTCATCAAGTTCGAGCCGGCACCGAGCTCGCCTGACTCGAAGGAACCGGGCAGGTGGACCCTCGGAATCAGCGAAAAGACTCCCATCGAGTTTCAGGCTCCTATTCCACGCCCCGCATGGATGACCGAGGACAGCATTGCGGAGCCCCTGCCTTCATACGATGGTCTCCTTGTTAGCATCGACAAGCTGCTGCTGGACCTACAGTCCCACCTGTCGAACCTATCGACGAGCCTCTTAACCGGTGCCTCGGGTTCCGGCAAGACTTCCGTCGCAAAATACGTGGCGCAGAGGCTGCGCGAAGACTCCTTTTTCCACACAACCTATTTCTCCTGCAAAAAGCTTGTCAACGACGAAAGCCGAATGGCCTCCATCAGAACAACTCTGAATCAGCTGTTCCTGACGGCCAGCTGGGGGGCCAAGTTCGGCGGCAAGGCTGTGATTATCCTCGACGACCTCGACACATCGTGCCCCGCAGAGACGGAACTCCAGACAACGGACAACGGTCGCAGCCGTCAGGTCAGCGAGATCATGAGCTCTATGGTCAGGCAGTATTGCAGTGCCGAGAGCGGCGTAGTGCTCCTAGCAACAGCGGAGGGGAAAGAGGCGCTCAACGAGATCATTGTGGGAGCAAATGTCTTTCGAGAGGTTCTGGAGCTCAAGGCGCCGAATAAGGACGCGAGACGCCAGGTTCTAGAGGCCATCGTCAAGCAAGAAGCCGCTTTGCCTGATAATGATGCGGCTCCCTCACACGATGGAAGCCGGCCTACGACGGCCGATGGCAGCGCCGCGGCCGAAGACAGCAACTGGATGGACGGCGCCAGCCAAGGCAGTCGTGAGAATGCCAAGAGAAAGACTGGGCGTTTCATACTGGACTCTGATCTCGATTTCCTGGACATTGCTGGCTTGACTGATGGATACATGCCCAAGGACCTAAGCGTTGTCATCGAAAGAGCGCAGAACGAGGCCGTGATACGGTCGGTAGACAACTCCTCTAAGCCGAACGCCAAGCTTGGTCCAATTCGCCTGGCCCGGCTGGACTTTGACAATGCTTTGAAAGATTTCACGCCCACATCGCTTCGCGACGTCTCGCTGCAGAGCTCGACAACCACCTTTAGCTCAATTGGCGGTCTTCAAGAGACACGACAAGTGCTTCTGGAGACGCTGTTATACCCCACAAAGTACGCGCCGGTCTTCGAGAAGTGCCCACTTCGTCTCCGTTCAGGTCTACTTCTCTACGGCTATCCCGGCTGCGGTAAGACATTGCTTGCGAGTGCGGTAGCAGGCGAATGCGGCTTGAACTTCATCAGCGTCAAGGGTCCTGAGATCCTCAATAAATACATCGGTGCATCCGAGAAGAGTGTTCGAGATTTGTTCGAGCGAGCATCAGCAGCCAAGCCGTCGGTTCTCTTCTTCGACGAGTTCGATTCGATCGCACCCAAGCGTGGCCACGACTCCACAGGCGTGACAGACAGGGTAGTCAACCAGCTCCTTACCCTTATGGACGGCGCCGAAGGTCTCTCGGGCGTGTACGTCCTCGCCGCTACCTCGAGGCCAGACCTCATCGACCCGGCCTTGCTTCGTCCTGGTCGTCTCGACAAGTCCCTCCTGTGTGACCTCCCGACCCTCGAAGACCGCGTCGACATCCTCAAGGCTCTTTCTCAGCAGGTCAAGTTGGACCCGGAAATGTCAGAGTCCGATGAGGCTTGGACAGAGATTGCTCGTCGCTGCGAGGCCTTTTCGGGTGCCGACCTTCAAGGCCTCATTTCCAACGCGCAACTCGAGGCCATTCACGATGTGCTCCAAGATGATAGCCATAACGAGCCTGTGGCGAACGGCAAAACAAACGGCGTCCACAAGGCTGAATCTGTTCCGAGCTACGTGCAGTTCCCCTACTGCGAGCCCGAGGAGCCGTCATCTACGTCCTTGATCCAGTCGAACAAGTTCCACGAGAGGGCAGCTATCATGGCCAAGCTTGAAGGCATAAAGCAAGCGCGCAAAAGGGCGAGGCGTGCGCAGCAGCCGGAAGCGGTCAAGGCGGCGGTGGAGGACAAGGAAGTCGTCGTTGGGTGGAAGCACCTTGTCAAGGCGCTCGTGGAAACCAAGGCGTCGATAAGCGCGCAGGAGCGCAACAGGCTGAAGAGAATATACCACGAGTTCGTCGTGGGCCGAAGCGGAGAAATGAAGGATGGACAGCCTAGCATGGAGATTGGGGGGCGGAGCAGCTTGATGTGATGTACGCGAAACCGATGAGTGAATTGGATATTCAGGTGTTGTTATTGTATTATCTGATCATACTGATCGGTCTCGTTAGCTGGCTCCTTCCTTGCTTCTGAAATTCTGGACGCGTCACGCCTTCCTGTTCGATCCTACGTAGTCATACGCCTCGGATGCCGTGGCTGCCCCCCTCGACGTAGACTCAACACTTTCGTCTCTTCCTTGACGTAATTTCTTGATCACCAAAATTACCATGGAATCTGGTATTGAGCTTGGTATCGAGCGCGTTGGCGATGGCCGCTATTCACTCCGTCTTATTCCAACGAAGAACGGCCAGGACGTCTATCTTGAGCCTGCGGTACGTCTGGGCACTTCTTACCCCTCTCATCAATCTACTGACTGGCATTCCCAGCGTCGCTCTGAAGAGGAAGTCCGATTAGATGAACGCAAAGCTGACCACCTCATCGCCAAGCTTCTTAGCGAGGGCAACTCGAATGAAGCCACGGCCGGAAAAGTCTTACAACAGCGTCGCGCCCAGCTCACGAACAACCTGTCGCCGCTTGAAAAAGCATCGGAGGCTCGCGAATGGCTCAGTCAGGAGTTGCGGGAGAGCGTGATTGTGCTGAGTGCAACTAAATCTAGCTCGATGAGCAGCGGGACCTGGGATCCTCGAACTGATAACCACATCGTCATCGCGGCCATCACAGGAGAGGAGAAACGACGGCAAGCGCAGCTCGCCGCTGAAGGGCACACCCCGAAAAGCCAAAGAGATAGCCAGCCAGATGATAGTACTGACGGGGTCCCCGACAGGAGTAAGACTACCAAGAGGTCTCCAGTCCAGATTACGCCTTCGAGAAATGGTTCACAAGCACCCCTATCCCCATTCAATGAGTATGTTGCCATTCAAGTTGGCGAACGTCTCTTCCAGACGACTCGCACAACCCTTCGAAAGTCACCTCTCCTCCGCAACCTCATCTCGCAACATGTCGCTTCGCGTGCAAATCCCCTATTTCTCGACACCGACCCTGCTACATTCGCCGACTTACTCGCCTACTTCCGCACAGCCCTCTACCCGCTCTTCTGGTCTGCTTCAGCAGGCCACAATCTTCCACGTTATGCATCTTTACACGCCGCAGCACGTTATTTCCGCGTCAGGGATCTCGAGTCGTGGCTAGCGCGCAAGGCTTACCTTTCTGTCGTAACTGTCGACGTCCGCCTCCGCAAAGCTGAGGCGCTCGGCCGCCAGCCGTTTCACAGGCAGCATATCCTCCAGGGCCACCAGACTCTCACCGTCGGGGCGGCAGTTGCAGGCCGCGAGGTTGTGTGGACGTGCCCTGCTGGGAACGGTGAGCATGATGGAGACTCCCTAATGTGCGAGGTTGAGGGCTGCTGTGGGAGCATGATGACGAACAGTGCCAAAGATCGCCCTGAGCAGAGGGTTCTGATGGATGTGGTGAAGATCATCACGGAAGAGAGAACGTATAGTTTGGACGAGAAGATGCTATGGTCTTGGGAGGACGAAGGTGAACGCGGGCAGTAAGATATCCGAGAGTGTGTCAATGATGCTACATTATGTACGGAGATATGGCTAGATACCCAGAGAATGTAGGAGTACGCATAATTTGATGCCCAGAACTAGCGGTGCTGAGAGACGATGTGCCTTTGATCTTCGAAACTAGACTTGTAAAGCCCGCGTATCTACTTGGCTCGGCGAAGTTTTGTCCTGGTGCTCGGGGGGTTACTTCTTGCGAAACACATCATCAATAGTCGCACCCACGGCCAACTAAAAGGCATGACCATTAGTGCGTCGTACGGTCACGGTAAACAACTCTGGTAGCCAGCAGATTTCATGTCAAAAGTGATGTTGACTCACCCGCTCTTCACCCAAACTGTATCCCCTGGCAGCGAGCTCCCGCCTCCATTCCCTGCCCAGTGTACAGCACCTTATAACTCCAGGCAACCAGCCCTTTCTCCAACAGGGATCACCGTACCGTGACGCATGGTGCAGTGGTCCCAGGGGTGACCCTAAATAAATACCCAAAATCGCATCCCCCTAACTGTGATGGGCGCGCAGGCCAGAAAGCGCGTGGAGGGACGGAGGGTTCAAGACCGGCACACGGCAATAAGGAGAAATCCTTTTTGCTTTTCTTCTACATCAACTACTTGCTGCTTATCACTTGTTTCAAGCCCCTCGTGTTTAGTCATATTCTTTTCTTTCCCACCACAATAGATGATCTTCTTCGTCTCACCATGCGATGGACCTTACATGTTTGTTTAGGAGGGCAGCCCCTATGCATACTGTAGGAAGTCTGAAGAAGCGACATACACTCCAAGTGCAGTTGAATTGCAGAGCTTCCTTCCTCCAATACGCCAAGCATCATATTCGCGATGATGATGAATTGCGACGAATAGAACCGGCTCAGTACACCAATGCGGTGGCAGACTGGGCTTCGCGATGCGCTGGACCAATTTTTCGATTCGTGATCATTACAAATAATCAAGGAATATGGTCGAAGACCCGACACTTTCAGTTTGACTTTCTAGCATACGAGCTTGGGAGGATAAGGTTGGATTTACGATCAATATGTACTTAGAAGCAGCCATCGCTATGGAGCATAAGGTAGATGGCCAGCATAACAGGACCCACCTCAACCCCTGATCGACGTGCGCAGGACACCGCGCGTCAGTCGTAACGGCAGGGGCAATCGGCTTGTGAGACACCTTGTGTGTCGACGCCAATGCCTACTTTCGTTGGCCAAAAGACGTCCACAATTCATATTCAGCATCACTCTTTGAAGACAGCATCACCCTTTGGCTGAATTAGAGCATACCACATTATCCCCGACATCTGAAGTAAACATAGCATTGTAATCCGGCAACCATGGCTAGTACGTCACGTCGCGCCACTTACTTCTCCAGCGTACACTCACTCACACTGTCCCAGGCTTTCTCAACACTTCCCAGAGCCTCACTCACATCACCCCAATCCCGTCCCCCGCCACACGCACTGATGCTATTGCCATGCTCCACGACCACGAGCACGTTATACAGTGCTCCCCCGCCATGTCCAAGTTTGAACTCATCACGAGCCCTTCTCCTGCCCCGCTGCCCGCGGGCATCACGCCCCTCGGCGACACCAAGTGCTATCAGGTCACAGACATCGTCCACGCGTTGCCCGCGGGTCTTTGGGACTCGGACATTGTCAGTACCTACGAGTTTACGAACCTCGCCGGTGGGCTTTTCGTGCGGATTCGGAGTCCCATGGGCATCGTGCTCGAGACTGTGTGGACCATCGAGGGCGAGGGCGAGGGGCCGGAGATGAGAGAATTTGTGACGATCAAGTGCTCAAGGCTTCTCGTGGGGACCGTCAATGGGCAGTGTGAGGGCAACTGGAAGGTAATTCATGCCAAGATGGTCGCGGGACTTGGGAAATGAGTCTTGTGTTGTTTGCAGTCGTCATGTCTGTCTGTCCGTCTGTTTTGTGAGCGAAGGTGTTGTGCGACTGAATGAGAGTACCACTAGAGACGATATTGGTACAGTCCATCGTTTTGATGTGAGGAAACCATTCTCGAGAACGAAGGGCCCAGGTGAGGATTCATAAATGATATGGCGCTGGAGTCGATGTCGTCACTTGCCATGGCTTGAATTCGGCGCGCAGTTGAACCGTCAAGACGATGCCGAACAAGATTATGAGCTCGTCTTCTTCGAATTGGTCTGTTCAATTGAAATGGCAGGAAGCTTGTTGGTCGATCGAACAGCAAGCGACATCACTCCAGCGTCGAAGCCCTACGGGTTTGGGATCGAGCTAACCAGCCAAAGTCCTCCGAACAGATTTTGGCAACGAGGCTGAAGCAGCGACGACGTCTCCTGGATATGAATTCGTAGCTCTATGCAAAACCTTGGACGCAAATAGTCCAAATATACTATTCGACGCTGTTGCATTTCATACCATCCAGACCGATGACGAGTTGACGATGGAGCCACCGTCTGCGGCATCCTAGTGTTCTGCCACTGGGCTGGTGGATGACGTAAGAAACTGAGAAACTGTTGTATCCAGAGTCTTTCTCGCACTTTGGTGCCCCACCAGACAAGGTGCCTGTACCGCGAAAGATCAACGTACGCCAGCGTCGATTGCGCCGATAAGATAACGCCCGTCTTGAGGGGTCCCAATCGAAAAATTTCCCAGCGCATCCCGAGAGCTTCGTCACCAACACCCACGGCGCCCAGCACCACCACACAGATACCATGGCTCCATACGTGACGCCCACCGCTGCTGAGCTGGAGAAGCGGAATGTGAGTTGTCACAAGAAATCTGCATGACGAGCTGTTACTGATTGCGCCTGCGCTATTAGACAGTCAGCATTGAAAAAGAGGTCGTCTACGATGTAGCCTCCACCGACTTCCCCGGCAACTATCCTGGTGAGGATAACAGCTGGTCGCTCGACACGTTCCGCGAGAACTTTCGCGTGCGTTATCACCAACTCTCTCCCTCCGAGTCATCCTTCTCCCTCATTGGTGTCGACGCCTCCATCGCCAATGCGCTCCGTCGCATCCTCATCTCCGAAATCCCCACCCTCGCCATCGAGACGGTTTACATCTATAACAACACCTCAGTCATCCAGGACGAGGTCCTAGCACACCGTTTGGGTCTCGTTCCCTTCACAGCCAACAAGGCAGGCCTGCGCGACTTCCTCCGCTGGCGAAAGAAGAACCCCGACGGCACCCCCGGCGACATCTTTGACTACAACACTGTCCAACTTCGCCTCCGTATCGAGTGCACGCGCAACCCTGATGCCGCGCCCGGCGAGATCGACTCGACCAAGGCTTTCCACAACGCCCACGTCCACGCCTCCGACATCGAGTATGTGCCCTCGGGACGCCAGCTCGAGTACTTTGACGGGCCGCTCAACACTGTTCGCCCTACGAACCCGGACATCCTCCTCGCCAAGTTGCGTCCTGGCCAGGTCCTCGAGATGGACATGCACATGCACAAGGGCATCGGCTCCGACCACGCAAAGTTCTCGCCCGTCGCCACCGCCTCCTATCGCCTCCTTCCCACCATCACCATCACCCGCCCCATCCTGGGCGCCGACGCCGACAAGTTCGCCCGCTGCTTCCCCGCCGGCGTCATCGGCATTGAACGCGTCTCTGCCGATGAGGCCCGCACACCCGGCTCCGGCTACGAGGGCCACGAGGGCGAGCGCAAGGCCGTCGTCCGCGACGCCATGAAGGACACCGTCTCGCGCGAGTGCCTGCGCCACGCCGAATTCCAGGGCAAGGTCAAGCTCGGCCGCCGCCGCGACCACTTCATCTTCGCCATTGAGGCCGCCACTGGTCAGTGGGACAGCGACGAGCTGCTTCTCGAGGCCATCAAGACGATGAAGAAGAAGTGTGCGCGTCTCGAGCAGCAGGTCATCAACATGGTCAGGTGATGCATGTACGGGGCTTTGATACAGGTGGCGCGGCGGGACCCTTATTGTACATACCCTTTCTTTTTTACAGGTAGAAATCCGGTGTTTTGCTTGTTTTCTGGCATGGGGAATGGAATGGATTTAGGAAGACCAAAATAAATCATGATACCAACGTCCCATCGTCATATCGTCCAGGCCCTGTCTCGGGAGGGAAGTCATCTCATCATGTCATCTATGTATAGGTGTCCATTCCATGCGCAGCGCAAGACCTTTCTCAAGCGTTCTTGTTGAACCGCAGGAAAAAGTTAAACTCCAGAGGGAACGCGGGATCTGTCACCACTACGTTCTGCCCATCCACAAGCTCGAGCTCCTCCAGAGTCTTCTCGAGGTTCGGCCTCGTCTTCTCCTCCAGCGACGGGGGAAACTGCATGTACAGTGTCTTGCCCTCGCCTCGGAGGGATGGCTTCTTGAGCTGCGCCTCAGGCCGCACTGCCAGCGAATCCACCAGCTCTTGCAGCGTCATCGTCGGCTTGACCTCCAGTGGCCGTGCCTGCTGGCCGCACACGGGACAGTCGTCCTTCTTCTCGTGCTTAAAAGTGTATGTGTAGATGCTGTCGTTGCCAGAGTACATCATATAGTTCTCTTCCATGCCGAGCGGAGGCGCGGCCGAACTGGCAAGCTTGAATGCCTCGTTGCAGCAGGCGGCGGCAATAATGGCATTTGTGGAAGCAATGGCGGGTATGATGTTCTTCACAACGCCTTGCGTTGATGCGTACGTCACGCCTGTGATGTTGAACTCGTTTGCGCGCGCGAGTGCCTTCTGGTACAGCCATGTGATGTGTTCCGGGTCGTCCTTGTCGAGCTGAGGGAAGGGCCTCTCTTTTTCCCACGCAATGACGTGCGCCCACTCGATGCAGTGCTCTGGCTGACGGGGAATGGAAGCGATGGTGCAGAGCGGCACAGCTGCTCTCGGCGCGTGCATGTCGAGCTGGCACTCGATGCAAGATGTGATGGAAGGCACAATGACACGCGCCTGTCCCTTGAAGCCCTCGGTGCCGCCATCAATCATGGGGATCAGGCAGTCTGCGTCCTCTCCCTCCTCGGCTATGGACACCAACATGGCGTTGATCCACCTCCGTGCTTCAATGCTGTCCAAGCCGCAAATAACAAACTGGAACTGCTTGTAGAAGTCGGTGTCGAAGTCCTGGATACGACAGCTGTGTGCCGTGATATGGACGCCCCTGACTCTTTTCATGACAAACTCGGCTGCGATATCTGCCTTGTACTTGCCAACGTCAGACTTTCGAAAGAGGAATTGTCGGTTGAGATTCGAGATGTCGATTGTGTCTGCACGGAGGTCAGCCAGGCGTCCCGGGGCTTTCACCCTCACGGAGCACCTTACCCATATCAATCACGTGTATATCTTTGAACTTGGACATGGCGAGATTTTTGAGAATTTCGCATCCCAAACCTCCCGCACCACTACTTCGGGTTAGCAATTGGACAGGGAAGGGCATGACGGGTAACGAACATGACCCTGTACAGTTGTTAGCATAGTATGACGACCTCAAGCGCAAGTCGTCACGCACAAGACTTTGATTTGGTCGAACTGGTCGATCGCCTCTTGCGTACCAGCAATTGGATCGGTGAAGGGCCCGGGGTTCTTGCGGATGGTGTCGAGGTAGGTCCTACGACGGAACTGTCAGCTCCAGTTTGAGCAGATCAGACCGCGGGCGCATACCATCTTGCTGTTTCATCAACTGGCCTTGAAGCCACTTCAGCTTGTGCCATATTGATCTGAAACTTTGTGTGATTGGGAAGGGCTGGATGTAATGACAAAGGCCGATGCTGGTAGTCGCCGCATCTATAGAGGGGCAGCTCTTTGTGGTTTCGGTGAGCTCATAGCGAACCCCAGCTGATGCAGCTCAGTGAAATGGAGTCATTGCTTATCGATTAGCAATGCGCGCTGTAGGAGGTGGGGCGACTGACATCCCAGGAAGTCACCAAACGCACGGTGCGAATGGTTAACCTCACTGCCGTTTGACGAAGGAACAGCTCGTCTTTTACAACAAGATACACCGTAAGAGCTGCTTCTTTCCGATATCTGGAGACTGAACCAAAACTTTGCGCAATGATACCCGCGCACGTATCTCAAACACCGGTCAAATCACGAGCCACGCTGGTACACACTATCTCAAACAAGCTATGGACGATTTCTTGACGCCAGTCAGCCAGACATATCTGAAGCCGAGGGCGTCTGGCTCTCCGTTCGGACTCTCTCGGTCGCCCAGCTCCGCTGATGAGGTCAACAAGCTCAAAACCTCATCTTCGGATGGCACAGTTCTTGAGAAGCTGATGAGCCAACCGGACTATGACACCTTGATCTCAGCCCTCAAGCTGGCAAGTCGCAACAACAAGACCGCAGACCCGACCTCCGAATCTGCCCGGGTCATCCAAGTTCTTGTCTCTGAGATTATCCCGAACTACTGGCCGGTTCTTAGAGGTGGAGATGCCGAAGACCTATCCCTTCTGCTGAGATGTCTCCGTAACCTCACGGGTGTCAATGCTCTTGTTGCACGGGTCAAGGCATTGACACAGGAATTCAAGGCTGGTGGACAATCAGTCAAGAGACCCGACATAGCCATGAATCTCGATATTCTGCTTCAAGTCTTCACAAACATCCTCGATGGAGATCTTCAGTTGATGGCGCTTTGGTCATCAGGTCTGCCGCATCTAGATAATCCCGTTCGGAGGAAGGCTATGGCCCATGAGCTGGTAGGCTTCTTCGCTGGCGGGAAGTTAGTTTCCATCGCAGCCGAGGCACAATCCATCTTGCAAAAGGAGCTTTCCGCTCACAAGAATGCCTGGGTGTCAGATGGATTGCTCTATAGCAAGTGGCTAGGAAGAAGCATTGTGGCTTGGGTGTCAAACGGTCCATCTTCCGATGATGAAAAGCTATGTGCTGAGCTATTTGTTCGCGGACTCCGGCTAGGATACTCGGAGCACCTGAACAAACATCTTATCCAAGATCTACTCCTAGGTCCGGATGCCAGCGCAAACGCCTTCGTGCGTCTTTTTGGCCACTTCTCGCAGCTTGAGCAAAAACGCATGCTTTACGCGGTTGTCAAGTACCTTGCAGACACACACTTGAATCCATTGGGTTCATCCGGGTCCCCTGAGGCGAGAAAGAAAATATCGGCAGCTGCCGGTGTCCTCGGAAAGCTTGTGGCGAATAACGATAGCAGAATGAACCATCTCGTCTCATGGCTCACAAACTCTACTGGTGCAGGACTCGGCGAGGCCATCGGCATCCGACGAGCCGTCGTGGCCGTCGTCGGAAATGATAAGGAGTGCACAAGTCAGGTCCTAGAGAAGAGTCTCAGCCAATTCGGTGACCAGCTCTATATTAAGCACTCGCCTATGCTACAACAAGAAGGTACCAGTCCAAAAGAGGCCTGCAGCCTACTAGCTGAGCTGACATGGTCTAGCACACGCCCAAGTATTGCTCCTGATAGCGGGTTACATCCATCGAGCTTCGGCTGTGAAGCTGAAGATGATTATGAGATCCGGAAGTTACCTTCAAACAATCTCGAACCGCTTAAATTCGACTCAGGTGAAGGCTAGACTACTCGGCATGGCAATTGGCGAGGCATTGTCTTCATTGTCCGACACGAACCAGAACAAGCTCGAATTCAAGACAGATGAAATGGACAGCGAGGAAGCAAAGTGGTATAAGTCACTGCCCACAATGGCCGACGAGGTCGGACCAGTCGAGCCTCTCGTCTCAGCTTCAGCTGTGAAGCCTGAGAAGCCAAACTTCAAGCCAGCGCCAGCTAAACCAATTACTCGACGGGCTTTACCTCCTAGGAACACTGGTTTCATTATCGAAGAGGTCGAAGATTCCTCTGAGAGCGAAGACGACGACCTCATGGTGTACAATAAGCCAGATGACGACGCTGAGGATTCCGACGAAGATGCTACCCTTGTCCGGAGGGATAAGCCTAAAGCTCCCGTGTACATCCGCGACCTTATCACATATCTTCGAGACGACAATAACTATGACAAGCAAAAGTTGGCTCTAGAAACATCCCCTTCATTGATCAGGCGAAAGGCAAATTTCGGCTCCGAGGTCAGCGCTCACGCCGATGAGCTTGCGTCCCAATTAGTAGGTCTTCAGGACAAATTTGACATTGCCAATTTTTACGAGCTCCGTCTACAAAGCATGATAGCTCTCATAGTCGCACAGCCGAAGGTGATGGCTCCCTGGTTCGCCAAGACCCTTTATGATGGCGACTACTCCATTTCTCAACGAGCATCCATTCTCATCGTGCTTGGCCTCAGTGCCAGAGAACTATCAGGGCACGACACCTCGGAGTTCGCCGCTGCCGCTTCATTCCCCTCAAAGCGTCTGCCTGAACGCATGGAGAGGATGTACCTAGAAGAAGCATCTATCCATGCAAACCGACTGGAGGCTGGCTCAGGATCCAATCTGAAAGCGATCCCGGCAACCGCTCTGGATAGCATCGCCCAGGATCTCACCTCTTCTTTCCTCGCTCCTTTGGCGGCCAAAGCCGCCGATGCAGCCACAGGTCCAGACGTTCTCAAGCTATCCTCGTTCACCTCGCGCCTTAACGCTCAGGGGCAACCTAAATCGACAGCCAAGCCAAAGCCGCGACTCCGCTCCATCCCCAACACGATTGCCTCCCTGATTGCTACCAACTTCTTCTTCCCCTTGACCGCTCGCCTTCAGCACGCCCTTCGCTCGCCAGCCTCCCATCGGCGCAACGCTCCTCTCTTCCAACCGCACCTTCTTTCTTTGTATCTCAAGACCCTTGCCGTCCTCATACACGCGGCCGGTCCCTCGACCCTTGCCCTCCCGCAGATGACCGCCGAGCTCTGGAATCTGATCCTTGGTCTGCGCGCACAGGCAGCTCCTGATCTCCCCACGACGCATGCCCTGTTGATCGCCCTTGCTGCCTTGTTCGAGGTCAATGCTGCCGGGTCCTCTGATGGCCTTCGCAAGCTCTGTGCCGACATGCCCCGCGAGATCGTCGAGACGCAGGAGTGGGTGTCCGGCATCTTCAATGGCACCCGCGGCGACGACGGCGGCCAGGAGAATCAAGTCAAGATGCTGTCGGCCGGCGTGCTCATCACGCTGCAAGAAGCCATGGAGCGCCACCGCGCGCTGTTGATGGGAGACATGATTGGGTTCACATAGGATGAGTTCAGAGACCAAATATAATAATGTCATTCTAATAGAACTTCGCTAACGCCTCGCCTGTATTGGTACTCATTCCTGTTATGCTCAGCAGGCCTTCTGCGGCATTGGTAGTAAGACAGTGTGTGATGGCATAGCGATTACCCCCGGAAGCGCCGACGACATGTCCATGTAGATGATACATGAGAGAGAGAGAGGCCTTTTCCTAGCTCCTTTCTCACCGTCTCGCTCCTTCACCGCCATCGAATCCCGGATTTCGAACAGGCATGGCGGAGAGATACTGGTTCATGAACGCCAGATGCTCGCCCAAACTCATCGTCATGCGCCTCAGCTCTTCTTTCACTTCCTCGGCGTCTGCCTGGCCTTGCATGGCCCGGACTGACGGCGGCGCCGGTGCCGGCGGCATGGGCGCTTCGTCTTGCTTATTACCTTCTTGTGCCGCCGGGGAGGGCCCTGTGTGGACAGACCGCATGGTCTGCGGGGTAAGGAACTCGCCACTGTTGTCCGGGTATGAAGGGCCCGCGAAACCGGTCGTGTCGAGTCGCAGGCCAGAAGTTGTGCTGCTGGCGCCAAGGCTGCTGATGCTGCTGCCGTTACTCGGACGCATGCGGTGAGACATTGACGAGTCGGGACGCGGACCATCTGTGATAGCGAGGCCTGCGAGACCGTTGGAAAACTCCTCATTTCCTTTAGGGATAGCGGACATGAAGTTGGAGTCATCAGACACGTAGATCGAGGGTTCTCGGTTGGAGGATGGGACGTAGAGAGAGGCGTGACGCTCCAAGTCAAACGGGTTTGCCAGGCTCAACTCCGAGCCAGTGACGGAGGCGACGTCAGAATTGGCCGTTGAAGGGCGGGTGAGTTCTGGCATGCTCATATCGAGGTCAATGAGGCTGCTGACTGATTCACGACTGGCCTGTATGCCGAGTTGAGGGTCAATCTCGCTCATATCGAGATCGATAAGGCTATTGATCGACTCGCGACTGTTGCCCTGACCAGGTGGCAGAGTAACAGTGCCCATATCAAGATCAATCAGGCTGCTGACTGATTCTCGCATGCTGGCTTGAGTACTCGGCCTCGGCACACTAAGGTCCGCTTCTCTGTAGTTAGGCACGGTGAGCGGTTCGGTGGCCTGGTGGAGGAGCTGCGGCCGGTTCGATGAGCCGGGTGTTGTTCGCTCATCGTTGAAGGGGAATCGCGACATCTCAGGATTTGCTGACGCTGGGGCGGCCATGGAAGGGAACTTCCAGTCTCGGGTTCTCCGGTTAGGGTTCACATCTGCCGGGTCACTGAGCGGTGGGTTGCTGTAATCGTGACCCGATTCTCCATGGAGCTCAACTGATATTCGTGGCTCGCCAGCCCTAATTGTGTTCATATCGACATAATTCGACAGTTCGGTCCCGTTTAGGGATGCATCAAGGTCAATGAGCGATTCTCGTACTGCTGTTGCTTGGGCCGAATCGTCTCTTAGGGGCAAATCAGAAGTCGGGGGCGGTTCAGGTAACCCGTAGTAGGCGCGAGAGTTTTCTTCGTAATTCGTGATGGTGTTCGGGTCAAAAACCTTTTCCAGAGGGACTTTCATGGCAGCTAGTTGCCGAGGAGGTGGCCTTCTCCGTGACCTTGGTTTGGATGCTTGAGGTTGCATCATATGACCAGGGTCAAAATCAACGCCAGATCCGTAGACATCGAAGACGGCTTGCGTGTCGGGATCTTGGAACACTTCTTGGTCGAATGCCAAAGTGGTGCTGAAGTTCCACTCGTCGTTGGCAAGGGCAGTCGACGATAGTTCAGACATGTCCATATCTGAAGGACCTTGCGCGCCTCCAGGAGCGAAAAGTGACCTGCGAATGCCGCCCTGAGACTCCCAAAGCTTGTAGCCTTTAACGAGCATGGCGAGGCTCGAGCCGGGATATTGCTGTGCCGAGTTGCGAATGTATGGGTGATCTTGCACTTGTTCAATGGTTGGACGCTTCTTAGGATCCTCTTGAAGACAAAATGCGACCATGTCCCTCAATTGGCTCGAGTATTGGTCACCTTGTAGCCGAGGCGCGTGCGACTTGAGGTGATTTCCAAGCTGGTACATATCAAAGCCAGCCATGACATTGGGCGGCAGGCCTGAGGCTACCTCGTAAACCAACGATCCAAAGGCCCAAATATCAACCTCGGTACCATAGGAAGTATTCTGGTCAAAGAGCTCGGGTGCCATCCAGTGCGGCGTACCAATGAAGGTAGAACGCTTGTCGAACTTGGTCTCAATGATACCTGCGACGCCAAAATCGCACAACTGCACACCCCCAGTCTCGGTAATCAGGACGTTGGCGCATTTGATGTCGCGATGAATGATGCCTTGTCGGTGAACCCAAAATACTGCTTCCGAAACCTCCCGTAAAATAGGGATGATCCATTTCTCCTGCAGACCACCGGGTGCAGTTGGTCTCATGAGTGTCGCCACGCTACCGCCGGCGCAGTACTCAGTAATCATCCACATGGATTGGCCGACGGCGAGCGCATCAATGACGACGTTGATATTTTTGGCGCCACTGTCACTGAGGAGCTTGAGAGCGTTGATCTCAGCCATGACCTCCCGAAATGTGTCGGCAAGCTTGGGGTTCTGGGTGTCGCTCTCTTCAATATCGATGATCTTGACAGCGACAAGCATCTTCGTCGCCAGATCAGTTGCCGTGTAAACACGCCCGAAGCTGCCTTTTCCGATGAGCTCTTTCAGCAGGTAGGGAGGCGAATCTTTGCCAGTTTCGGCTGACTGCTTGTCTACAGTTGCTTGCATCTTCTTCGCATCCTCAAAGGCTTTCCGCTTGATGTCCGGCAACCAGGACCCACGTGGTTGGAGAGTCGCCATGATGATAGGTGGTAGCCCAATCTAGGGCACGCCGTGTAGAAGCACCCAGATGGGGCTCAGAGTATTGGTGCCGTCGAGCGGTCAGGGTCCCGGTCGTGATAGGAAATCTCCAGATGATGAAGGTGTCATGTTGAGAGCAGCGTGTTTGAGTTGAGAGGATGAGAAGGTCAGGAGCGCTCAAGCCTCGATACGACACACAGGGGCACACCGAGTCTCGTGGACCAATCAAGTGAGTCCCTCAGGCGCCACACGCAGTAAAAGTGGGTCATTCTTCTGATCACACAGACCAAGCATACCTATTACATTCATATCAACTTAGCCAGCATATCAGTCCCTGGCTGGAAGAGGGACCATCGACGGGACTTGGGTCCTGGTCGTCAATAATCATCATGCAAAACAACATTACTATTGGTACCGGGAATGTTTGTTGTATGGATTCTTTGAAACTCAGATCGGCGGGGTATCCTTCAGTGCTTCGCGAGTCAAATGCAGTCTCCAGAGTCAACCTACCGTGGGGCATGTGTTCACCCAGTCAGCCAGCGCCGCCACCACGGCTTCTGCACAGCAGACCCCTCTACATCCCTTTCACCCTTCTCGTTTCCCTGCGTCCTATTCTTGAAATCGCGAGGGCTTTCAAATTCCGATGCCTTAATCGACCACAGCCCGAGCTTCTTGGCTTTCGCCTTCGCTTCGGCCGCCTTGTAGATACTCTCCTTGCCACCCCACTCCACGCCACTCTTGGCTTCATACGTCGTAGCAAGACCTTGCTTCAACATTTCGAGGCCAACATCCTTCTTGAAAAGAGGCTGTCTTGTCGATACCGTTGCCACGATGCGATTGTACTGGTCTCGTTTATGGAGATGAGCCCGTACGCGCCGATGGAGGATGTACTTTGAGAGATGAGCTTGTGCCTCCGCAGCGAAGGGTTGGCCAGGGCGTCCGAAATGAGGTCCCTCGGGCGCGTCGATGCCGGCCAAACGAATTGAAATCTGGCGAATTGTCAGTGGCTCGTTGAGGCATGCTCCATGCTACACCTACAGTCTCTCCCTTCAGATTAGATCTTCCTTCTGGGATCTTCCGGAGCCATCCCCAGCCTGCGAGTTTCCCTCCTGGTGTGTGATACAAGTGGAAACCATCACCATCTCCCACGCTCGTGACTCTACCCAGGAGGCTTCTTTTGCGGAAAAAGTTCTCTTGGATGCTAGCAGCACCAGCGAAGCGGCGCAAGTAAGATTGGTAGAACATAAAGGCTGCCAGGGAGCCGACGGCGGTCAAGAAGACGGGAGCCCATTCCTTGGCGGCCTGGAGCGGAGGGTCTGGTTTGGGAAGCAAACTGTTCCATGACTTTGCTGGCTCTCTGCCCTCGACCTTATCGTCCCTGGGCTTTTGAGGCGGCGGTGCCTCAGATGAGCCAGAGGGTCCAAACGGCCATGGCATGGTTCAGATCTCAGGCAGGGGGGAGGATTTCGACCGTTGCCGGCCTGCTCAAGCAGTGATGGGTGGTCTAGAAGACCAAACAACCCGTCAGTCGGCAATCTGGCTAATCTTTCAAGCAGGCGTAAATGGTCAAGGGTCGAATGATTGGCGGCACAACTCGGTTTTTGTTTTACACGATCAAACGGGAGATGGCGAGTGAAGGTGGCTCTGCACGGACATCTCACTGTTAACTGTGCGCAGTGACAGTTTGAACGATAAGATATACTGTACAACGTCCAGAGCACAGTGTTGACAAGCGATCATCCATATTCGGTGCCAGACGCGAGTCATAAATCAATGAAATGCGCGCCATAGGCGCAATTGATAGACAACAATACGAAGCCCAATTGAGGGCAAGTCCTGTCTCTTGGAGGTGCTCGGTTTAAGCACATCTTGAAGTGGATCCTGCCAGAAGTGCTTGCTGGCAGTGCTTGCTGGCAGTGCGCGAATGTCGGCATTTGGCACGGTCTGTCGGCTCAGACTCGGAAGAACTTGTCGTTGCGCCACTGTCCAATCAGCAGTAGCTGATTTCTTCGACATTGCTAGCTTTCCCGCCAGGCAGATGACGGCCATATCGCACAATACCACGCCGACAACCCCCCATCATCAATCAAGCTCGCCACCGTCAGCGGCATAGTCGAAGAGGCTCAATTGAGGGGGCTCATCTCCTCGATCCTTCCACAAACACCCTCTCCACTCTGCGACCACAATGGCAAGCCTCTATCGCCTCGCCGGCCACAGCGCCAAGCGGTTATGCCTCCGACCAGCCACGACGACCTCCCTCGCCGCCCGCCCTTTGTCTACGACGGCATTCCGGAAATATGCCCAGCCCTCGCCGGAGTTTCAGGGACTCAGGCTCGTGCCCGTCGACACTGACTTCAACCACCCTGCCGATCCCTACGCCGCCGTAAACCACAAGGGCACCGACCATGGCCCGGCGAAAGACGGCATCGAGGACAAGAAGGTCAGGCACTACACTGTCAACTTTGGACCTCAGCATCCCGCCGCCCACGGCGTGTTGCGCCTGATTCTTGAGATCAATGGCGAGGAGATTGTCCGCGCCGATCCTCACGTCGGTCTGCTCCACCGTGGTACGGAGAAGCTCATCGAGTACAAGACCTACCTCCAGGCTCTTCCCTACTTCGACCGTCTCGACTATGTCTCCATGATGACGAACGAGCAGTGCTTCTCGTTGGCCGTTGAAAAGCTTTTGAACATCGAAATCCCCGACCGCGCGAAATGGATCCGCACCCTGTTCGGCGAGCTCACCCGAGTCCTGAACCACCTCATGTCCGTTCTGTCCCACGCCATGGACGTTGGCGCTCTGACACCTTTCCTTTGGGGCTTTGAGGAGCGTGAGAAGCTCATGGTAAGTTGCCCTTCCGGCGGCGATACCCGTGAGAACGGTGGATTGACTTATTGCAGGAATTCTACGAGCGCGTCTCCGGTGCCCGTTTGCACGCTGCCTACGTTCGCCCTGGTGGCGTTCACCAGGATATCCCCGTCGGCCTGCTCGACGATATCTACCAGTGGGCCACGCAGTTTGGCGACAGGCTCGACGAGACTGAGGAGATGCTGACTGACAACCGAATCTGGCTCCAGCGTCTGCAGGGTGTCGGTGTCGTCAGCGCCGCCGAGGCGCTGAACCTCTCCTTCACCGGCCCCATGCTCCGCGGATCTGGTATTCCTTGGGATATCCGCAAGAGCCAGCCTTACGACGCCTACGACCAGGTTGAGTTCGACGTGCCCGTCGGCGTCCGCGGCGACTGCTACGATCGTTACCTCGTCCGCATGGAGGAGTTCCGCCAGTCTCTCCGCATTATCCACCAATGCCTGAACAAGATGCCCGCCGGCCCCGTCCGTGTTGAGGACTACAAGGTCTCCCCTCCCCCCCGTGCCGCCATGAAGGAGAACATGGAGGCCCTCATCCACCACTTCCTCCTCTACACCAAGGGTTACGCCGTGCCCCCTGGTGAGACTTACTCCGCCATCGAGGCCCCTAAGGGCGAGATGGGTGTCTTCGTTGTCAGCGACGGTAGCGAGAGGCCATACCGCGTCCACATTCGTGCTCCCGGATTTGCTCACCTCGCTGGCTTCGACCATGTTTGCAAGGGCCACATGTTGGCTGATGCCGTCGCCGTTATCGGTACGATGGATCTGGTGTTCGGTATGTTTTTCCGTTTCTGTAAATGTTTGCCTCCTGCTAACGTGGCCCACAGGCGAGGTCGATCGGTAGACGTAGGGCGAGGTGGTAAAAGAAATTTCGGGATCGTAAGGTCTGTTCCGTTTGTACTTGTAGGCCGGAAGGAGAAGGTGCATCACCGTATATATCTCATTCTGTTGCTTCACATCGTTCTGTCCGCTGTACTTCGGTCCGTGAATCCCAGTGTCTGTCTATACACGTAACGAGTCGCCATTTCGACGCGTGGCCAAGGTGATGGTTCATTTTCAGTGAATGACTGCCATCGCTCTCATGCGACTATTCGCGAGCTTCAGTAGTTAAGTGTGTCGTCTCTCATACCCGTAGTCTCGACTCTATGTACCCAAGTCAACCATGCAGCGACCAGAATGTGTACGCTTAATATATACAGAAATGGGTTTTGTCTGTCTACAGTCTATGAGGTGATCTTGCTGTCTACGGTACAATGCCGTACAATGCACGAGGGGGTTTTCCTCAAAAAAAAATAGCATGTATTGTGCTGGTAGACCTGAACATCAAATCCCATGGTCATAGTAGAACAAGATTTACAATTGTTACAAAAGTATACAGCAATACATGGCAGGAACGTACGTCCTAGATAAACCTAGCTCCACTGCCCGCCGCCTGATCCATGATGAACTTTTTGAGAGGGCCCACAGCGTTTACAGCGTTCAGGCCTAGAGAGCGGAGGTGCACCAGCGGCCCGCTCTCAACAGAGTACAACTTGTGCAGCTTGTCGCAAACACCGAGAAGGACATGATTGGCAGCGTACCGCTCCGAATTGTACGTCTCAAGCGACAGGGACGAGCCGATGTCCTGGCCGTGGGCAACGGCGTACTCGATGGTCTTCGCGAGGCTCTGGACGTCGCCCTGGCCCGAGTTGAGCCCTTGTCCAGCAAGAGGGTGAATCGTGTGCGCAGCATCACCGATGAGGGCCACGCGCTCCCCGATGTAGGTGTCTGCGTGGCGGAGCTTCAGGGGGAAGGACGCAATCGTACCCTCTTGCACGCCGACTGCAGTTTGGGGGATGGCCGCAACATCGACGGGCGTGTGATTCAGCCTCCACTGCAGCTCCTCGTCTTGACCGGATGACGTAGTATGCATAAACTTGACATCCACGGGGCTCAGTCGGAAAGCCGCGTTGACCAGCGCGATAAAGTCCTTCGGAGCCAGGCTCTTCAGCAGCGCGGCGTTGGCGGGCGTCGTCGACCAGACGAGGGTCGAGTATTTGCCTGGCAGAGGGAGCATGGCCACGGGGCCAGTCGGTAGGAAGCGTTGATACGCCGTCTTGTTGTAGTCGCCGCCCCAGCCATCACCTTCCATCTCCAGCGTCGCAACGACACCGTGCCTCTCGTAGTCCCAGCCGCGGCTCTTGATGTCCGCGAAAGAGCGGACAGGGCTGTTTGCGCCGTCAGCGCCAACGAGAAGTCTCGCATGCAACTGTTTGCCACCCTCAAGGTGGACTACGGGCCATTGGCTGAGATCCAGCTGCTCGGTCTCCTCTCCTAGAGTGATCTCCTGCACTTTGGCAGCATCAAAGACAGAGACACCACCGAGCTCTTCCAACCGCTTAAGTAGACCTGAAGTCAGATTGAGGTTCTCGCACATGTAGGCAATCGTCTTGCCGCCAGATGTGACGGAGTCCGGCGTCCAGTCGAACTCGATGCGCGCGTCAGTGACACCGTCCCAGACCTGCATCTCCTGATACGCCTGAATGCGCTCGCGCTTCATGTGGCTCCATGCACCTATCGAGTTGAGATATTGCGCAGAGGTAGGCGTGAGAGAACTGCAACGGTTCGAGAATCGGTCGGCGGGAAGAGTCCAGTTGCGTGTCTTCGACAGGTCCTGGGCTTCGACAAGAGCGACGCGGAGGCGTGAAGTGGTAGGATTCGAGCCTGTCGAGATCATCAGTACGATCAAGAATGAGATTACGGAATCCGTATTTGCTCACGAAGGGCGGCGAGAAGACTCAGGCCAGCCGGCCCGCCTCCCACGCAGACGACATCGTAGATGTCAGGATTGGACGCGGCAGCTGTGGCGAAAGACCTCCTGTTTCGAGATGCAGCACGCTGTGTACAGCTTCGGCACACGAAGCGATGTCTTGCTATCAAGTGGCGGGGATTGGAGGCCATTTTTGGTGTAGTGACTGCGCAGCCAAAAATCGTGTGCGATCTTGATGCCACCAGAGTCGTGGTGATAGCATCTTCAGCAAAAGTCCGGAAGAGGCCTAGCGTGGTCAGCTCATGCTCAGACCACCTGGGGGCGGAACTTGACCCCTACGTCACCCCACCTTTCCGCCTACCTCAGCAGTGACCAAAGCCGACTAACCCAGATCAGGACACAGCCAGGTTGCCACAGAGACAAGATAACAGCTCGCTTTCAGCAAGGACAGCAATCGGACTTTCATGTTTACAATAACTTGTGCCCCCGCCCTACGTACAGCCTTTGGCATCTTTGCTCATCAACACCCTGTTTTTTTCTGGTGCTCGCTTAACTTGGTCGCAGAGCCGAGGCCAGATCTGTCGCGTGGTCGCATTCCTGCAGCCAGCAGCTCTTTTCGCCGGCTCTCTTGCAGACGTTCATTCCTTTCCTTCACGGCTGTCATCGCCTGTCTCACCTCCCGCTATCGTCATCATTCAGACCTGCCACGATCAAACCCCGACAGACGTTATCGACGTGCCGACTGACATACCGTTACCATCATGTCGGACGAGGCGTACGAGTACCTTCAGCCTGGGTTTGACCCCAAGTCGCTGACGGTACCACGGCTGCGCTCCATTTTGGTGGCGCACGATGTCCAGTACCCCGCGACGGCGAAGAAGCCGCAGCTCATCGACATTTTCAACGAAGGCGTCGTTCCGAAGGCCAAGAAGTTCCTCGACAAGCAAGCGCGCGCCAAGCGTTCGAGCATGGGCATCATCAACATGCCCAGAGGCGACTCCTACGACACGGCGTCCTTCGACGACGAAGACGTTGATCTGGCACCACCACCTCGACGTGAAACACGCTCTCGTTCACCGCGCAAGGCTTCAGCAAGGCTACGGTCAGAGGACTACGAAGACGAGCCTGCCTTGCCTCTCAGCCCTACCAAACGCAAGGTTCGGGGCGCCAGTCGCCAATTGTCTCATCCGCCTGCGGACTTATATCCTACTGAGGCAGAGCCGCCTCGGTCAGTCCGGAGGAGCACACGAACGGTGACGCCTCAGGTCAAAGTTGAAGATGTAGAGGATGGATTCTTCAATCTTCAAGAGACGGATGTCAACTTCTCCGCCGAGAACCCATTCCAAAGTGGGAGTTCTCCAGCGCCTGCCTCGCGGCCTAGCAGCAGCCGCAGGCGAACAGCCGGGCATGACACTCCGGCTACATTCAACGACGTCGGCGTACGACGCCGCACTGATGGCTATGAGCGGCCCAAGTCTGCTAAATCGAACAAGTCCGTCCGGCACGAGATCGCATATGTATCTGAACTGGATGCTGGCGAGGAGTTTACCCCTGAAGAACAAATTGAGTTGGAAATGGAAATAGCCATGAAGGGCGCCAACGGTCTGCTCGAGCAACGTCGACCTAAGCCAGCGAAGAAGCGCACCGGTCTCAGGACACCTTTGATGGCGCTTGCTGTCACCCTGCTAGGAGCGTACGGCGGCTGGTATCGACAGGAGAAGATCGCCGTCGGTTATTGTGGCCTCGGCAGACCTGCGACTCAGGTCATTCCCCCTGAGGTGTCAGTTCCCGACTGGATCGTCCCCTACATTGAGCCCCAGTGCGAGCGTTGCCCTCAACACGCCTACTGCTTCGAGGACTATACTGTGCGCTGTGATGACAACTTCATCTTGAAGCCTCACCCCCTTTCGCTCGGCGGTCTGGTACCGCTGCCGCCCACCTGCGAGCCCGATGGCGAGAAGGTCAGGCGGATCAAGGCTGTTGCCGACAAGGCAGTGGAGGAGCTTCGTGAGAGGAGGGCCCAGTTTGAATGTGGCGAACTGGTTGATCAGACGGGCGAACAGGAGGAGAGCCCGGCCATTGAGGAGGAGGAGCTCAAGTCGGCCATTAGTGAAAAGCGCAGCAAGAAGATGAACAAGCAGGAGTTCGATGATCTTTGGGCAGCTGCTATTGGAGATATCAAGGACCGCGAGGAGGTTGAGATCATCAAGTGAGTTGCCGCTCCATTTCCATACCTTTATCCCCACAGGCCTACCACGCCCTACTCGACAATAGCATTCGTTCTGACCAGCATCACTAACCAGATCGGTCGCGCCGGAAGCAGACAAGCCGATTCCGCCGGCCTTCCAAACACCTACCTCTCGTCCACCTCTCTCGCTCGCCTTTCGATCAGCTGCGCGGCCAAGCGGTCCCTCCGGCTCGGATTGGCAAGATATCGACTCCCAGCTGGATCTCTAGCCGCCCTGGTGGCTTTGTATTTTTATTTGCGTGGGCGCTATCGATCCCACAAGGCCGAGGTCTCCCGGGTTCCGTCTCTTGTTGACTTGGTCCTTGCACGACTTGCATCGCAGAAGGAGCTTGGCGAAGAGGAGCTTGACGATCCTTGGCTGTTCCTGCCAAACCTACGAGACGACGTTCTTCGCTCTGTGCACTCGCTAAAGAGCCGGGATCGCATCTGGTCTCGAGTGAGAGCCGTCGTGGAGCAGAACAGCAATGTGCGTACCAGTCAGCGCGAGGGCCGCAGCGGCGAGGTCGGCCGCGCCTGGGAATGGATCGGGCCACTCACTGGCGATAGCGCAAGGCGGCGGAAGAGTGGGCGCGTGTCATTCGGAACTGGCGCTGTAACGGATGACGATCGGAAGGACGAAATGTCAGAGAAGTCAACGGCGCGTTCGACCTGGCAGGAGTCGCGACCGATCTACTGAGATGGTTATTGTATGGGACGCTTTCTTACAACCACTAATTCTACCGGCCTGACATGGCATAGTCTCTTGTTTTCTTTGTAATGATTATGCAGACGACGCCTGGATCGAAGCTAGGTCAATGATCGTTATTATATTTGGAAATCCCCACGATACTGGAGTGAACACGTCAGCAATACCTGTTCAACGTGGAATATCTTAGGTCTCATCAGTCTTGGGCCCGCTCTGGGCTTTGACTATCTCGGCCAGACCGAGTCGTAACCTGAAAGCCCTAGTGAACTCCACCCACTACGCTCTCAGAGCCATGATCCCACCAGAATTGCCGCACATCAACAATGGGCGATTGGTTTAGTGGTATAACGTCTGCTTAGCATCGAAACGAGTAATCGTGAGATCCTATCTGCTGAAGGTCGCGCGTTCGATTCGCGCATTGTCCATTCTTTTTAGCTCATCGGCGGTCAACTGGGCTCTCAATTCTTTTGTGCAAATGTCGGGTAACATCTGAAGTCTTTTTTCACAACATTAGTCGGGAAAGAATAACAAAGCTTCTGGGTTGGATTACGCTAAGGAATCACAAGGATCAGAGAGCACTGCAGGTGAGGCTGTTAGTGGTCGTTGCTGTTGGCAGCCGATGTGCTCGGACATCGGAGCGGGAAGCTCGGCAGGAACATGTCATCGTGCTTCAAGACATTGTTGTCCTTATAGTTACTACGAAAACCCCCAGTTGCTTGTCTGTTGTGGACGGGGGTCTCATACCCATCATTTATGGTTCTTTTGCGCCAAAGCGTAGGGATTCATATATTAGGCATGAATGGGAGGCCATCAATTCAAGTCACGTATCACGGTTATCATAATGACGACGAACAACAGGCTGCTGGGCAGTCATTGCGGATTAAGTTCAAGATTGTTGATTCGGCTAATGCACAGGTGTTTATAAACACGTAGGGGTTTCCCTCGTACAAAGAAAACTTCCTCTCATGGAGTCCTAAGTTCGACGTAGAGGTTGGTTGTCTATTGGGCCTTGGAGGCAAGGAGCTCTGCAAAGGATTTGTCAGTTTTCAGGTGCTCACAAGCAGTGTGCATTTTGTGGCAGGAACTCACTCTCGACATCAGTGATGCTCTGGGCGAGAACCTGCTGCAGAGCCTTGGGGCTCTCAAGCTCCTTCTGGACCTTGGCGATGATGCTCTCGGCGAGCTCCTTCTGCTGGCGCTGCTTGACCTGGCTCTCGTAGCGGACCCAAGAGTCAAGGACGGTCTTGGCCTCGGTAGCCAGAGCAGTCTTCTGCTCGAGCTCGAAAGCCTGGGCCTCGAGCTTGGCGGTCTCCTATGACGATGCATTAGCGGCTGGTTCAAGAAGTACGCGCGGTGCCTACCCCGCATCGGGTTTCATCGCGCGCGTGCCTTGCGCCATCAGGACAGGTCGTACCTTGGAAACCTCGAACAGAGACTTGGTGATGTCGACGACACCGGACATCTGCTTCACATCGTCGATGCGAACCTGGACGGCCTTGGTGTGGTCGGTACGAGCCTGGTCAAGGAGGCCCTTGATCTTGTTGCTCTGGGCATCCGCCCACTCGGAGTACATGGGACCACCGTACTTGATGAGAGCGCCCCAGACGGCGAGAAGGCAGAAAGCGACGACGGTCTCCTCGTTGACGACATAGTACTCGTTGCTGATGGCGTAGACACTGAGACCGGCAGTGGAGGAAAGGATTGCCGTCTTGGAGAGCAGCGAGTTGCCGGGGAGGGAGTCGATGAGGGACTGGGCCTTCTTCTTGGGGTCCTCAGCGGGCACGCCGGAGACGTTGCGAGAGGAGGTAAGGGACGCGATGGCGGGCAGGGTGCGCCGGGCCACGGTCGGCCGGAGGAGGTTCGCTCCTAAACACGAGGCACGTCAGCGAGACGATACTCGACGCGCGAGGGCCAATTGACCTCGCCGGGTGGTTCGGAAGGGAAGGAGACGTACCAGCAGCGCTTCTAGCCAAACGGGACGCCATTTTGAGATAATCTGGGGATGCGGATTAGGAGGCTTGAGGTCATTCGGAGCTCGCAGGGCAGGGAATGAGGTTGAGGTTTTTTGGATCGCGCTAGTTCGGGTAGGAGGAGTCACGTGAGGCGGCTGACTGTTTTGCTCGATGGACGGGAATTTGCCGGGTGCTGGCGGACCGGCGCCTGCAGCTCATGTGGAGGATCCACTCTTCACTACAGGATGGACGCTGGAAATTTTTGAGGTCTTGGCATCAAACATCTGAAATCCAGCACACTGCCGCAATCGAGCATTGGAGGTCCTATTGCTCGATCAAGTTCCTCAAGATGCCTGCCAAAGCCTCAGCCGATGTCCGGAAGCGCAAGAGGTCTTCAGAGGCCAAGGAACCCGCGCAAAAGCGTGCTCGTTCGGAGAGCGGCGACGAGAGCGATGGATCCAGTGAGACTGACCCTCAAGCTGAGATTCTACTTATGGAACAAGAGATTCTCGAATCGAAGAAGCACTACAACAACATCTCAAAACTTCTCGACATCGCCAAGGCCTACAAGACAGATCCCGATTCAGCTGCCCTCGCTTCTGTCGCACTTACCAGAGTTTTCGTGAGATTGCTCGCCGCGGGGGCTCTCATCAAGAAAAAGGGCCTGACAGAGAAAGATGCCGTTGTTGTTGGCTGGCTCAGGGAACGCTACTTTGAGTACAAGGATTCTCTGGCCGAGATGATCACAGATGAGGAGCTGGGATCGCCGGCCCTGACACTCGCTATGCGAATGCTGAAGTCTGAGGCCCAACACTTGTACGAGTCGGATGAGTATAACTTTCCCCAGGCCTTCCTGCAGCAAATTATCAAGGCGCTTCTCAACTCCAGCAGCGATGACGCTCGCGGAGATTTCGTGGACAAATACTTGACGGAGTTCGACGATGTTCGGTTTTTTGGGTTGAAGTCCATCAAGTGAGTCTTGCCGTCAACAATTTGTTTGCCAATCTTTACTAACCTGCATGCTTTAGAAACATCGTTGAGAAGCCAGAGGAGGGCGCTGGCAAGGACGATCTCTTTGACGATGCCTTTGAACTCCTGCATGCCATTGGCGACGTGCCTAAGAAGCTGGAAAACTACCACCTAGAGAAGCCCAGCAAGAAGGCGCATCCCCTGAACTCCCTGCACCAGCATCAGCGGCAAGGCCAGGATGCCTGGCTAGCAGTCATGAAGCTCGCAACGACCAAGGATCAACGCAAGCGCATCCTCGAGATCATGGCGACGGATATAGCGCCGTGGTTCACGAGGCCCGAATTGCTGGCAGACTTCCTTACCGATTCGTACAACACTGGTGGCTCCATGTCGCTGTTGGCCTTGTCAGGTGTCTTCTTCCTCATTCAGGAGAGGAACCTCGACTACCCATCATTCTACACAAAACTGTACTCTTTGTTGGATCGCGACATCTTGCACTCCAAGTACAGGGCAAGATTCTTCCGCCTGATGGACACCTTCCTGCGCTCGACGCATCTACCTGCTGTACTCGTCGCAAGCTTCATCAAACGTCTCGCACGCCTGTCTCTCAGCGCCCCGCCCGCAGCTATCGTCTTCATTGTGCCCTGGACCTACAACATCATGAAGCGCCACCCGCTTTGCACGTTCATGATGCACCGGGTACTGCGCGATGACGAGGCGAAGAAGGCCATGGAGGATGAAGGCTATGCCGACCCCTTCCTGCCAGACGAGGCGGATCCGATGGAGACACACGCCATTGACAGCTGCCTGTGGGAGTTTGTACAACTGCAGTCGCACTACCACCCCAACGTGGCAACAATCACGAAGATCATCTCGGAACAGTTTACCAAGCAGTCTTACAACATTGAAGATTTCCTGGACCATTCCTTTAGCAGTGTAAGTCATCCCGCCTCCTGTGTCGAAATTTGTACGTTGTGTGGTGGCTGACTGCGTGTGACAGCTTCTGGAGGCTGAGATGAGCAAGACCGTGAAGAAGCCGCCTGTTGTTGAGTTTCAGATTCCCAAGAGAATTCTCCTTCCGAATGACGCCGAATCTGGCATTGAGGATAGTCTGGTGGCTAAGCTGTGGGAATTTCCGTGAGACGCTCGGACAGGTGGAGGTCAATCGAGACGAGGCTACATAGATGCGTGCTACAAATACCCGGATGCTGTTGGCCGTGCCACGTCCTGTAGTAACAATGGAAAATGGAGGTAAACGATGTGTATTGATACTACCAAGTTTCGTACAAAGGTCATCTCGCTGCATCGTTGGAGGATTGGAACGTTCAAGAGCTCGCGTGACCAATTGCTCCAACGAGCAAGATGCTGGCTTGTCTGGAGCAGCTTCAGTGGGCGGGTCCCACTGTGGTCACAGCCCCCTCAGTCTCAAGGTGCAGTGCAAGCAGGAAAGATAAGGGAAGACTGACTTCAGCTCAGTGGAGCGTTATGTTTCCACCCCAATAGATCGTCGACTTCTGGAGGTTTGTGACCAATCGGCGGGGCGGGTAGGAGCATCCTCTCCACTGACATCATTGGATTGTCAGGTTCGGTACCAGAAGCGTTCCTAGCTTACCCCATTAGCGCCTCGACCGTTCTCCCCGCCTGCTGTACCTGCCTGGAACCTTGCTGCCCGCTTGCGAAAGCAAATGCCCACTGCCCAGCGATTCATCATCGACGATCTACCTGCCTTCGTTAGCTTCAGTTCAAACTCTTCACTGCACCAAGTCGACTCCTACGACGTATGCAACGCCAGGAAACCGACAGGACGTAGCGACAGGCGCTACGAGAGATTCGGCTCAGACAACAAGCGATACTCTGCGAGCACGCCCTGGCTGGAGCATTGTCGATTGACAGTATGAACAACAACTTCTTCAAACCACTCCAGAGCCCTCAGGTTGAGCGGCCACCTCCGAATCCCCTGAATCCAGTCACCTCTGCCCCCGCAGTCGCTGGATCGCAGCAGGCGACGCGCAGCAAGAAGAAACGCACTGGCAAGAAGAAGCGTGGGAGGAGGAAGTCTTTTGCTGTGCTCCCAGAAGAGTCTCACGACGAGGCTGAGGCCTCGACCGCCCCCGTCGCTGCAAGACCCGACTTCTACCTGCAGACACGCAACTTCAGCAATGCCAGCCTCGACAGCCAGACATTGCTGGACCACCGCGACCAACAGCCACTCCGACCTCGTCGTGGCTCAACAATGGCCACCCCTGGGTCCTTCCAGACTCCGCCAGCCAGTCGTTTGCGCGTGAGCCATGCCCATGGGGGTGATAGTGGTGATGAGGGAGAGCCAGCATGGGACGAGAACGCACCCTTGCTGTCACGGTCAGCACAGAGAACAAATACCATGCCGTCCTTGAGCTACGGGGGTGGTACCAGCCAGTCCAGGCCGCGCGTTAGTCGTCGAGGATCCAGCAGGTCGTCGAGGCAGCGCCAGCCTGTCTTCAATAGCATCAACTACCCCCCTTCTATGCCAGGCTCGCCACGAATTGCTGGTTCAGATCCCCTAGACCTGACGTTCGGGGACGTTATGATCACCGATGAGCTCGACGCCCGCCTCGGTCGGTCCCCGCATAATGATTATCGCTTGGATGATCACCATTCGGATCACGACGTGCGCATGGAAGGCGCATCCCCGGGTATAGCACGGAGGAAGACCATTGCCTTGCAGGCCGAGGCGGACGTGTGCTTCCCCAGCGGTGTCTCCGAGTTGGGCGAAGAGGAGCATCTTGAGTCGAACAATATGCGGAGGCCTCGGCGCCGACGCGCCGCTTGGCCCGACCTCACAATTCTCGATGAATGGAGCCGCATTGAGAAAGAGGGCCGCAGTGAGGAACGCAGGGTCAAGCGCATCACCGAGCCTCAACTCATCAACGGACGTCTGCGCACGGTGCATCGAGGCTGGATGCGCCCCGAAGAGGACTCGCCGTATCGATTCACCTATTTTAATGAAGAGTTCCAAAGCACCATCCATAGTCAGACGATCTCGGAGCTCGTTCAAGTTGGTGGCAGTTTCCGAGAACTGTTCATTCCCGAACCTCGTGTCCTGTCAGACGACAGCGAGTCCGATGATTCTGATGCGGAAGACGTATCAGTGGTGACTGCTACACAGCAGAACCACGCCTCGATTGGCCAGAACGGCGTGTCTGGCACTTCAACGCGCCAGAGCTCTGTTGTTCCCCCCTTGAGCGAGGAGCCCGAATCAATCATCTCGGGCCATGACAAGACTTCACACGAGAGCTCCAGGGCGCCTTCGGGCAAGGCGACGCCAACGGGGGTTAAGTCACCAACGCCGAACGTCTCTCAGCCAGAAGGTACACCAAAGCAACCCAAATTTGGCGAACGACCGGTTTGGTGGCTTGACGTGCTGTGTCCAACCGAGGCCGAGATGAAGGTTCTTTCCAAGGCGTTCGGGATCCATCCTCTCACGGCAGAGGATATCATGGTGCAGGAGGCTCGTGAGAAAGTTGAGCTCTTCCGACACTACTACTTTGTCAACTATCGATCATTCGATCAAGATTCCGAGAGCGAAGACTACCTCGAGCCCGTCAACATGTACGTCATCGTGTTCCGAGAGGGTGTTTTAAGCTTTCACTTTTCAATGACGCCTCACTCTGCCAACGTCCGCCGACGTATTCGTCAACTCAAAGATTTTGTCATCGTTAATTCAGATTGGATCTCATACGCCATCATTGATGACATCACGGATGTTTTTGGTCCCTTGATTCAGAATATCGAGGACGAGGTTGACGACATTGATGATGCTATTCTTCGACTGCACTCTTCAGGTGACGTACAGGCAAAAGATGGACCACTGTACTCGGAGAAGGCGTCAGATGACGGACATCCCTTCCAAAAGGAGAGCCACATGCTTCTCCGTGTCGGCGATTGTCGTAAACGGGTCATGAGCCTCTACCGGCTTTTGGGCAACAAGGCAGACGTCATCAAGGGCTTCGCAAAGCGTTGCAATGAGCGATGGGAGGTTGCACCGCGGTCCGACATTGGATTGTACCTTGGCGATATTCAGGATCACATTGTGACCATGACATCAAACTTGAGTCACTACGAGAAGTACGATTTTCTTTACCGTGCAAACGGATCGCCAATCCTTATGTCAGCCACTAACATTCTCAGGATCCTTGCACGTTCCCATGCAAATTACCTTGCCCAGATCAACATTCGTATGAATGAGCGCTCCGAACAGACGGCCGATGTGCTTGGAAAACTGACTGTCTTGGGCACTATCGTCTTGCCTATGAACATCATTACCGGGCTGTGGGGTATGAACGTGTGGGTTCCCGGGCAGGAATACGAGGGGGACCTCACTTGGTTCTGGTGTCTGACAGCGGGCTTATTGGCGTTTGGTCTGACCTGCTTCATCGTTGCGAAGAGAGTGTATAATATCGTGTAGACGGCGCCTTTGCTGTAGTCACCACCACCCTGGACGGTGTTTTCTGGTATTACGCCACTGTTGGTTCAGTGTTTGCTTTGGGATTTTCCAGGAGTTTGAGGATCCCTCGTATTTTCTTTGGAATGGGACTATGTACATTTCGGTATGAATGCAACGAATCAACGAGGCCCCTAGCACGGTGGTTTGCGCGCCAAAAGTAGTCAAAGACAACAGATGCGGCGCTTTGAGAACTTCAGCTATAAGGTCTGTGGGAACTAGATCTAGTCCGCCTGCTGGGTGCTTTGTTAGGCCGTGGTGCCGTCTATTGCGTAGAGGACAACGCGTCTCGAGGCAGGCATCGTCCATGGTGTGGTCGATTATGCTTGATTCGCGATAACCGCACTTCTCGAGTGGATCTGGGGTGGGAAAAGTTACACCCATAACAGTGGAGGTTGTAAATTCGGGGATGGGTAGTGCCTTCGGACGATAAGAACCTTGGGCGGCGAGGCTTCTTATGCTGGGTTTCAATTGTGACTTTTCCTACGTATACTATGATATTTCATTTACATATCTGCCTGATATTCCCTGTAGTCGTCTTCAATACTTTTACTCCATAATATCCCATAATTAGCATGCATTGCTCCATCTTCTTGACTAGTGCTATAGCCCTCTATGAAATTTGGTGGAGGACATTTAATGCGTCCATTTACCAGGGCCAATTTCTTGCTCGAGGCGATGGTTGGGCCTCTTGTCGACTGTGTTCTACACACACCGGGTTGTTGTATGTTATGCAAAGACCGACTATGTCGTAAACCGATCTTCTCCAAATGCGCCAGGACTGACTGGTCTAGGCCGCCTACCCCAACATGGAAAGCCTGAGACAACGAGGACCCTTGTCCCCTGCGATTCTTACCTTAGCCGCAGTTGTTAGTGGCCCCCGAAAATGTGAAGGTGGCCTCAAGCACGAGATCCATTGATTACAGATTGAGCTCCTCCCGCCTGCCTCTGCTTGCGACACCAGCTTGATCTCGGATCGCTGTTCTCCTGACCTCTGCTTTGGTCCAATTGTCTTCGTGCTTACATTGCAATTGAATTGCCGTTTCTTCAAGGTTCCCCGGACGCTTCTCCTCGACTCCGCCGCGTTTAATAACTGGAAGGTGGGGGACACAAGTCTTGCTTCGTTTCAACGTTAGCTGTTCGAAAACCAATCGAAACATCGACACACCAGCGCCTTGCACTCGACACCCTTTGGCACAATGGCCGGAAAATCTAGATTCACCAGGCTTGATGCCTTCACTAAGACTGTCGACGAGGCTCGCATTCGAACCTCATCGGGCGGCATCATCACCATCGTCTCGCTCTTCATTGTCTTTTGGCTGGCATGGGGAGAATGGGCCGACTACCGGAGGATAACTCTGCATCCAGAGCTGATCGTCGACAAGGGAAGAGGTAAACATGTCCAGAAAACTGCAGGTGTTTGCCAAGGCTAATGCGGTCCTGCACAGGCGAGAAGATGGAGATCCATCTGAACATGACTTTCCCTAAGATGCCATGTGAGCTTCTGACGCTCGACGTCATGGATGTTTCGGGCGAACAGCAACACGGTATCGTCTCTGGTATCTCCAAGGTCCGCCTCAGGTCGCAGAAAGACGGCGGTGGTGTCATTGACACCAAGGCTCTGAGCCTGTAAGTGGCTGTAGTTGTGCGACGAGGAAGATATTCCTATTAACCTGGTCAACTCTAGACATGCTGCGGACGAAGCCGCCACCCATCTGGCTCCCGACTACTGCGGCGACTGTTACGGCGCGAAGGCTCCCGCCAACGCTGTGAAGCAGGGATGCTGCAACACGTGCGAAGAGGTGAGGGAGGCATACGCGCAGGCGTCGTGGGCGTTTGGCAAGGGCGAGAACGTCGAGCAGTGCACTCGTGAGCACTATGCCGAGAGGCTCGATGAGCAGCGCGCTGAGGGTTGCCGTATCGAAGGCGGACTGCGCGTGAACAAGGTTGTCGGCAACTTCCATCTGGCACCGGGCCGCAGCTTTAGCAACGGCAACATGCACGTTCACGACCTCAAGAACTACTGGGACGCCGAAATCATACACGACTTCACTCACCAGATTCACGCTCTACGCTTCGGTCCCCAGCTGCCTGATTCCATTACGAAGAACCTTGGCAACAAGGCGGTGCCCTGGACGAACCACCACTTGAACCCGCTCGACGGCACCTCCCAGATCACGACGGACCCCAGCTTCAACTTTATGTACTTTGTCAAGATCGTCCCCACTTCCTACCTGCCTCTCGGCTGGGACAGCAAGCGCTCCCCCCAGGACAACGACGGTGGGCTCCTTGGATCCTTTGGTCAGGGCAGTGACGGCAGCATTGAGACGCACCAGTACTCAGTAACGAGCCACAAGCGCAGCCTGTCAGGCGGCGACGATTCTGCTGAGGGACACGCCGAGCGCGTGCACACCCGCGGTGGCATCCCCGGCGTCTTCTTCTCTTACGTAAGTCGTGATTTGCCCACACTTTTGGAAGAGATGTGCTAACACAGTGAAGGATATATCTCCCATGAAGGTCATCAACCGCGAGGAGCGCTCCAAGTCTTTCACCGGCTTCTTGACCGGACTCTGTGCAGTCATTGGCGGTACCCTCACGGTAGCCGCCGCGGTTGATCGTGGCATGTTCGAGGGCTCTTTGAGGCTGAAGAAGATCCGATCCAAGGACAACTGAATGGAGTGTTTTGCGCGTTGGATAGTGGACGGGGACAAGGGTGTTGATATGTGGGTGGGGTGTGTACAATCTGGTGCTGGCAGCTCTGACTCTGCCTCGTGCATCTGGCTAGGAGTTCTGGGCTGGCTTAGAATGGTTTCTGATTTTACTATCGAACATAAATTTCAGTTCACACATGTTTCAAACTTGCATTGAGAAGTGAAGAGGTAAGCAAATGTTCAAGGTAAATAGCTTCAGTGATACATATCTGGACCACGTGACACCGAGACGAGAGAGGTGTGAATTACGTAAGCTCACCATTGCCCTTGGCCCGTGCTCAAGCTACTGTGACGTCCGGACTACGTCCCAAAAAATCCCTAAGAGGATTCGCGGGTATGGTTGACGGCAATCAACGTTGACCAGCCCAACAACGATCCAAGCTTAAACTGCATACACAGCAGCTTCGGCAAGCGTTCATTCTGATCTCACCACTTTGAGCGGAACTATCACCCAACAATCACCCCGAAGAACGCCCTCATCCTCAATCACTACAAGCTGGATCCCATCCCGCTCACGCAATGTCGAAGACGCTTTCTCGCGTTGTCTTTGTAGGCAACATCCCTTACGGTGCGCAATGTCGACTCCCTTCAGCTCTCGTCGTTTATACTCATTGAGCTGCAGGTCTCTCCGAGGAACAGATCACCGATATTTTTAGCAGCGCTGGCAAAGTCATCAACTTCCGTCTTGTCTACGACCGCGAGACAGGAAGACCAAAGGGCTTCGGATTTGCCGAATACCCCGACCACGGTTGGTCACGCCTATTTCCCTACAGTTCCGTGTTGCTAAGTCTTTTCTTTTTCAAACAGACTCTGCCGCTTCAGCAGTTCGAAACCTGAATGATTACGAGACGATGGGTCGCAAGTTGAGGGTTGACTTCTCTAACGAAGGAGGTACCGACGACAATGATTTCAACCAAGTAAGCGACAGAACCCTGTTCTTATACCAAAGCCGCATTTTAATCGAGGGTAGGGTCGCGATGGTCTCAGCTTCGGTGCCCCGAACACCTATGGCCAAGCAGCACCTGCCGCTCCACAAGCCAGCACCCTTCCTCCGCTTCCTCCTGGCAAGGAACTGCCCGCCAACATTACCGCGACCGACGCCATCTCTCGCACGCTCAACACGCTCCCTCCTTCGCAGCTTCTTGATATTCTGACACAAATGAAAGCCTTGGCTTCCAACGATCCGGCCCGCGCAACGGAGCTTCTTCAACAGGCTCCCCAGCTGTCCTACGCCGTCTTCCAGGCCCTTCTCCTTATGGGCCTTGTCTCGCCAGAGGCAATTCATAGTGTCCTCGAGCCCGGCAGCGGCGTGCCAGCGCCTCAGGCTCCTCCGGCCGGTTTCCCACCCCAGGGCGTACCTGGATACCCGCCCGCCGGCGCGACCAACACTCCGCCTGTTGCGGCGACACCCTATCCTGCGCCACCGCAACCAGTGTACGGCGCTCCCGCTCCCGCGCCTGCGCCTGCGCTGGGCCATGACACAGACGCACTCATGAGGCAGGTCATGGAACTCCCAATCGAGACAATCAATACTTTGCCTGAAGCGGAGCGCGCCCAGATCATGGCGTTGCGCGCACAGTTCCAGCAACAGAGGCGCTAGAACCATGGGGTATGAGCACTGTACTATTATTGACCACGAACGAGCGAGCATGGCATCGCCTGAAATGCGGGGGAATGGCGACCACACGAGGAAATGCGGAATCCTCACTGCTTCACTCGGGAGGTCCGGAGCAGTCAAGGCGTTCTTGGAGTTTGCAGGAAATACAAAATATATCGTCTGTCATCACGACGACCCTGGCTTGGTAGGCTGTGACGACTGCCAGGGCGCAGCCAACATCTAAGAATTTTGACTCAGCCACGTTGAAAGATTCAGACTCGGCCCGCAATTACGCAAGCCCAGTTGTCACGGCAGTCGCTGAGCAAAAAAGACGAAGGAGCCGTTCACATGCAAAACCGAAGCCGGAACGAGGCTTGCATGCCATCTTGCAACTGGTCTCAAGCATCAAGGCATAGCCAGATGTCTGGAAATGAACATCTGGCTTCAGCGGGCTAGGACATCTAGCGACAGGTTCTAGTGGACTGAGGACGTCGATACCCAGTGAGAGAGTATGTAGAAGTACGTTGCCTTGGCAATAGTTGCCGACGGGCAGAATCCAGCTTAGTACAGCAACCGTTGTTCGCTGTGAAACCCGAGTCAATGCGCCTTGTCGACAACGGAGATGGCGGGTATCTGGCAAGTTGAAACCTCAGCACGCCGTACCAAGTCGCCTTTTTCTGAGTTCGGTCGGGATTGAATTCGCAGCGATGTCAAGCAGGTGCATTGGTCCTTTGCACCAGGACAGCACTCAAAGTAAAGCGATCTCCCTCGATTGCAAATGTGCGTGGCTGCCACGCCAAAATGGGCAGGCCACGATGCATTGCATGTAAGCGCCCTTCGACATGCAGCGAGCGGACTGATTGCGACAAACCATCAAAGAGGATACTATTTCTTGAGCTAAGCGCCAATGACTGTTGTTGGCCGTTTGTCAAGACTCTCGGCCAAGACTTTGTTCCTTGCCGATAGCTTGCCGATAGAAGAGCTCGGGGATGATGTAAAGAGATCTGAAGTACGCCTGTATCCTCTGATTTGAAATACTATCCAATGAAACACCGCTCCGTATCGAGACATAGCCGCTCTTGAACGCCTCAAGTGATACACCATCTGTGAAGTCACGGCCGACGCAGCCTCAAAACTCCCACATACTTAGATGGGATGTATCGTCGTATTTCACCTCAGCCTTTTGTAGGATACTGCCAGATGTCCTTCAGCAACAAGATGTCCGTTGGCAGAAGATTTATGCCCTCAGTGGAAAAGGACTCCATCTGCACGTTTCATGGGCCGTGGATGTCTGATGGACTAGTAGGGTGGCAGGTGCAGCTGACTCAGGCGTCATTAAGCGTGAGATAGCAGTGCATCGTAGGTTTCCTTGCATGGGAACATGGACATCGAAAATCGTGGATCGAGGTTCCTCCCGCTCCTGCACAACACACACGGTGGAGTGGGATGGCCCACGGAATAGGGCCTGGACTGTGCATTAAACTCCGTACGTACGCGCGCAGCTCATTACAAGCTTTGGGGCAGCTGAGGGGATCTGGGGAGGAAAGGGGTGCATCTTCAGAGCATTTTGGGGCGAGACGAACAACAGGTGCAAAAAACGCAGGATGCAGGGCGGCACTACTAGTGACGTCGCTATGATGAGACCCGCATCCCTTCGCAAAAGTCCCCAGAACGACTGACGCTGTCCTGAGACCCTTTCCCCGGCTTGGCGAATCTGTCGCCCACGCCTTGCCGGGCGCCCAACCCCATGTACCTAGGTACTGAGAGCAGTCGAGAACGTTGTGAAAACACCACATGGTGCAGAGCAATCTCCACTGCGGTCACGAGGGCCACTGCCAGCGCCGCATCGAGGCCAGCCACAAATCAATAGTAAAAGCAACCACGACTCAACCAGGCGTGACGATGCCTCGGCCGTCATCCACATGAGGCAAGCTGCAAGCAAACAAGAGGACCACGAGGGCGCGTGTGACAAGCAGAGAAAACACAGTCACGATATTGCGCGCCCAAGCCCGGGCCAATAAGACCGCCGGGCCGAGTCCCAATGCAGGGGCGACGGGAGATTTGCGACCGGGGAGAGAATGGGAGACACATGCAAGTGAGGAAGCACGACATGGGTCTGTGGTGTTACCTGCGCCAAAGGGGGGGCCAGAGAGGGGTTCGAAACGGAAGGCAGGCAGTCGGCCTGACCCAGAACGGATGAGCAGGGCCCCTTGTTTGACCATCATGGTGATGTGACGGTGCTGGTGAGGATGGGAAGGGTAGGGTCCATGCCGAGATGCTCGAGAGGTCTGTGGTCTTTCTCAATGCTTGGTTGACCCCAAATTGTCGCCCCAAAGACAGGTACGTGGTCACAAGTGTTGAACTTGCCGAAACGCTGAAGAAAGGCACGACTTGGGGCTAGATTTTCTTGGCCTACCCGACTAGCGATGGACGGGCTGGATGGGGTCCTGTTGCTAAAGTTAGCCGGTCATTTGGTGGGGAGAGACTGGACGATCTGGCCCAGGCGAGACCCTCGAGGCGTATCGTGCGTTTTGCCTGTTGAGGAGACCACCTAGATGTAACAATGCGACACGCCTCAGGGCCGCCGCCGTATACAGGTTCTCATGGCCGAAATGAAGAAGCCAGGTGTGTGCCTGGCCACTGTGCTGTGCCGTGTTGGGCATATCGTGTCAAGTTGCTAAGTTGGGCTGGAGATGGCGAAGAACCCAGGTGATGATGAATGGCTTTGCCACAAGCCTCAGCTGCGCCATCCAACGCATCAAAGGAGTGGGCGATACGAATGATGTGGTCCAGGCAGACAGACACTTCGTCCCACGGTAGGCAACCGTCCCGCTTCAAAAGGGCAGAGAGTTGAAAACCTGCTGAGGAACAACAATCAGTAAACCCGAATTTGATATGAATCGAAGCGCTAGAATCCAATGACGATTCAACGTTGGAAACAAGTCTGGCGGGCGGGCGAAACGGAAAAAAAAAAAAGGGGGCACACTTCAGGGACAGGAAGAAGAAATGATAGCACTCCAGGTCGGGCGGTCTCTAGGCTGCACCCCAGGATCTCAGTGGCTCAGGACAGCAGGCGTGGCGTGCCGTGTTCGCCAATAACGGCCCATCGCCGATGCTCTGGCCCCTGGATTGCTAATCCTCATCCAGCCTAGCTCTGTCAACAGGCGCATGCACCTCTAACTGGGTCCGGCCAAAGGCTCCCCGTCTGGGGGGCCCAACTCGTCCATTGTGGCACCAACAGCCTCTGCAAGGCCAGTGAGAAGTCGCTACCAGTCCCTTATTCTCCAGCAACCAGTCCCGCTCCACCGGCCCCTTCCACAGCAGTCACTGGCAGCCAGCCGAACGGAGCAGGTGCAGGAACCGGTTCAGGAGGAGAGGAGTTCTGCTACATCTCGTCACCCCGTCTACCGCTGTTCAAACGCCTCCCCTCCTCGTATTCCTTCATCATCCCCCTCTCTTTCTGCTAATTGTGTTTTTTTTTCCCACTCTGACAAAACGAAGGGAGAGAGAAAGAGAAAGTGAACACCCGGAGACGTTCCTGGACGTCTGGAAACCCGTTGTTCAAGCTTGACGCCAGCCAGCTTCTTCCGTGTCCCTACCACCCCCTCCCCACGCTCATTTCCATCTGCAACAACTGAGAGAAAGATCCTGGCGCTTCATCTCAGACAAGCACCGTTGACGACACGAGCCCTCCCTAGTCTCCTTCTCCTCTGTCATCATCTCCTCAGCGACACGAAAACATACGCATCCATTACACAAACACGGCAAATTCACAACACACGCCCATTTGGCCGGTTTCGCGTCTTCGCCATTACTCGGTACACTACTCAGCCCAATATCGTGCCTTTTGGCTGTCGCGCCTTGACGCATTCTTCCTATATTGCCCGTTGCCGCACTTGCAGGGTTGACTGCAACTTGCTGTTCATGCGCGCCGTCTCAACATTCCAATCAGCCACGACCGCAGCATTTGGCCGTCGCCAAACAGTTTTCCGAATCGCCTTACCTCATATGGCTCAAGCCTCTCCCACCCCTCCCTGCCGAACTTGAGTTTGACGACATACTCAATCCAACCACCGAGACACACGTCGAACGCTACTCGAATTCCAACCTCCTTCTCGCGCGTCGCCGTGCTACAGCACTCTGTTTCTGCTCTACGATTTGACGACATTAGCCCCGAAGAACTGTATCGTTGCGACGTCCAAAATGGCCCAACGGCCAACTCTGCTCGACTTGCGCTCCAAGTCGAGCTCCTCCAACATGACTAGCGCTTCGAGACCCCTTCGGTCGCCTCGCCTTCATGTCGCTGGCGAGATCCCTCCCGAGCTCTCGCCCCTCGATGCCTTCGCCCTCCAGAGTCGCCTGCTCGCGCGCCAATTGAAAGAGAGCGACAACGCTGGTCGACGGATGAGCCGCTTGCCTCCCCTCACCACCGAAAGCCCACTCGTCATGCAAGGTCGCTCGGACTACTTCCGTTCCATGTCCCAGGATGGCATGTCGGAAGCCAGCCAGTCGCCTGAACCGCTGGATAGAGGGCTTGGCTTGATGCCAGAAGTGGAAGAAAACCTACAGCGACCGATGTCGATGCACCCGCGCATGAGTCGCATCCCCCCGACTCCCGACGATGGCGTACCGCTGCCGCCACAGCCTATGCTCGACCAAACTCGTGGGCGAACGCTGAATCACATTCGAGAAGACTCGACGAATTTTGGGGCCAGGAGGGAAGAGTCACCGACGCCGATGGAGTCCGCGCAAATGGACGAGCCGCCAAGCTCTATAGTGCCATCGCCGCGCAAAGACACGGCCGCATCGCTCCCGATGCCATCCTCATCCAACTCTCTGGTCGCTTCGCCTGAAAAGATGCCAAAGAAGCACTCCTTCGATGGACCAGGTCTAGCGCCACCGCGACCCATGTTTGTCAAGCGGCCTTCAGCATCCAGCACCATGTCTTCTCCTCTAGTACCCACTGACGAAGATGGTGTCATGAGCTCCTCCTTTCATTCGCTGCCACATCGCAAGCTATCCAGCGGCAGTGCCATGTCTAGTATGGCCGCCATCTCTCCAGCTGTCACCTCTTCACACTACCAAAGATCACCGTCTATCAGCTCTGACATTTCTGTTGCGCTACCACGGCCATCTTTCAACTTTTCGAGGCCACTGAGTCGAGCAGGAACTCCTGGTCCTGAGACACCATCGCGTCAGGCCTCGTCAGACACTCAGGCATCTTTTGTCTTGGCAGATGACACGGCGAATACGCCGATCAGCATGAATAGCGAAGGCTTCCCGGATACCCTTACTGATGACGGTAAATCTGCAGCAACGTCATACATTTATTCCAAATACACACTTCCGAGAGGCAAGAGTGTTCAAAGGTCGCTGCCACTCGAAAGTCAGCCTCCGGCATCCTTACGGTGGGAGCAGTCGACTACGCGCTCTGACAACGGACAGTCAACTCTGAGAGGCGCACCTCCGTCACCGCCTACTCGACCATCGAGCTCGTCAGAGAGGATGATGCCGGATCATATGAGCCTGGCGAAACACTCTTTTGAGCAAGGCAAGAGAAGCATGGAGCGCAATGCACTTCGCCTACAGCCGTCGCCGAACCCAAGTCGACCATCAACTGAGAGCAGCCGCGCCTCTGAGGACGAGACTAGGGGCCGCCCCTTGACCTCCCCTATGCACGACAATGCCAGATTAAAGACGGCCATCTCAGTCGCCACTTCTGACTCGGCTAGTACCGTCAAGCCGGCGAAGTCTTTGCATTCGATTGCTCCCTCGGCCGCGGATATGACGGCTGAAGAACATCTCGCCAAAGGTATTGAGTGTCATGAAAATGGATCCGTCAATGAGTCCACCTACCACCTACGACACGCCGCTAAACAGAATCATCCTACGGGCATGCTTCTGTATGCCCTCGCTTGCAGGCACGGATGGGGCATGCGCCCAAACCAACGGGAGGGAGTGGAATGGTTGAGAAAGGCCTCCGAACTCGTGAGCAATGAAATCGCAGACGATGAAGGCCAAGTCAAGCAAGGCAAGCATGTCGATGTACTGGACAGAAAGACTCGGAAAGCTCAATTCGCTCTCGCCGTGTACGAACTTGGCGTCAGTCATATGAACGGCTGGGGCATCGAGCAAGACAAAGTTCTAGCGCTCAGATGCTTCGAAATCGCTGGATGTGAGTAATTCGCCTTTGTGGTGCAAATTCGACATACTGATGGGTTCATAGCCTGGGGTGATCTTGACGCATTGGCGGAGGCTGGCTACTGCTATGCGCAAGGCGTTGGGTGCAAAAAGGATTTAAAGAAAGCCGCCAAGTTTTACAGGGAGGCCGAGTCCAAAGGGATGAGCATGGTGGGAAACAGCTGGTATGTGAATCGAGTAAAGCTGCAAGGGATACATCGTATTGATCTGACATTTCGCAGGATTCACAAGTCGAAATATAACGATGACAGCAAAGAACTGAAAAAAGTTCGTAGCAAGTCAAGAACGCGCAATATTTTCGGCATCAAGACGGGTGGCTCATGAGCTCCGCCGTCACTGCGCAAATCTTAGTGCAGCCGAAAAGCCCGCCATTTAACGGATCACGAGGAATCAACATCGACATAACCATTACCATCATACCCAGCATCTAAGGAGTTTTCAGGCGTCAGTCACCTGCGGCAGGCTGTTGACATTTGGAGTTATATGTCTGGCGGTTGGGAGCTTTGATCCGCCGTCATTATTGCCTTTATCAAGGACATACACTAAACGAGCAAAATCACGGACCCCGTCGCTGTTGCGAAACATGAGCGACTCTAGCGAGGGCTCCTGGTCTCTGTCTGTTCAGCGTTCTATTTCCTGCGTTCCTCTTGCTAAACTACTTCGTCATCAAACATACCCCTTTTCTTTCTTCCCTGTAGATGGACCATTTTAACTACATTTTGGGGAGGCTAGTGCTCATTCACCTCCGCGTTCTGCACAAAGGATTATTATGAAACAGGTAAAAGCCAGGCAAACGCCGAAGGTAAATAGTAATCCCATATATGCCAATGATTCGTATAAGATCTCTTTGTTGTACCCTCGTATGCGAATAAGCAAACGACAGCCTACCCATGCTGCTTTGGCGTGAGGCTTCAATTGAAACCCCGGCCCTTGGCTGATGTGGTTACCTCCACAAATCTTGCCGGCGTAATAGGTTCCTTACACACATGAATTAGCGGGGCACTTCAAGTTGATTTCTCCTATTTGTTGCACTAATCAACCGCTTGATCACTTGCTTGCACAGTGCAGGCCTTGGAAACAGCCCAGACAGGGTTACACTGCTACTGGTCTCGATGCTTCCAGAGAGAGAGCAGGTAGGCTTCGTCTTGCTTTAGCAGACGACGGCAACACTAGGTTTCGAAAATAGAACGAGCGCATGCACTCAGAGTGGGTCATGCCACCAAACGGTCATACCTCGAGTATATTGTCACACAGCAACCATGCATCTCAAATCACGCCTCTATTGCTGCAATTCTCATGTTCGTACAGTACAAGTGTGATCTTCGATCCGCATTGCATCATTGCACCTAAGAATCGACCTCCATAGCCTCGCCGGTGGATGTCACCTCGGTGACGCTGACGTAGCGGCCGATCTCGTTTTTCTTGATGATCTTCTCGTTGAGCACAGCCGTCGTGCCCTTGGGGAAAGCGTAGCTCTTGAGCTTGGCGCTCCGCTCGTTGGGCTTGACGAAGCCGCGCTTCAGCTCTGTCTTGTCCTGGGTGATGATGGCCACGTCAACGTTGCTGCCGGAGCCGAGATCGTTGAAAATACCGGCCTGGATGGCGTCACTGGCGAGCTTGACAGCCTCGTCGCGGGTGAGATTGGCCTTCCACTGCGTCTCGAAGACGGACATGGCGGCAAGGGAGCCGGAGCCCATGGTGACATAGGGGAGCTTGTCGGTGGAGCCGTGGGCGTGGACGGTGAACAGGTGGGTGCCTGTTGGGTCGCAACCGGCGACGACGAGGTAGGCGCCAATATGGCCCTGGTACTGGAAGAGGTGCTGCTTGAGCATGGTCATGCAGGTGACGACGCGGGGCTTGCGGCCTGTGGAGAGGGCGTGGAGTTCGAGGTTCGACGAAATGATGGCCGTGGTGAACTCGGTGTCAGCGGCGGTGCCGGCGCCGGCGCACCAAATTTGAGGAGCAATGTAGTGAAGCTTTTCGCAGTTCTTGTCGGCGACGATGGGGCCTGAAGTTGCTCTTGTATCGGCGGCGATCTGGTGGAGGGGGATCAGCGACTGTACTGAGCGACGCCTAGGAGCCGAACGAGAAGAAGGAGAGTCGAAGACGACTGAATCAGGTAATGGCGAGAGAGGGGGTGTCACGGGGGACTCACGACAACACCTCCGTCAAATATGCACCCCACGATGGTCGTTCCTGTGCTTGTCGCCTTGGGCAGGGGCACGCCACGGGCGTGGAGGGCCGCATTGCGGTTGTAGTTTGTGAAGTCGAAGCCAGGCATGATGGCAATTGCGGTGTCTCCCGCTCGGTCTATCTTTTATTTGCTGGAAGGTTGAGAGGAACCCGCGCGTCGTTTCGTCTCGCGGATGGATTGAGTGTGTCGTGGATGGCGTATTTCCGTTGAGGGCGGTCGTCGGGGAGAGGCAGCGTTGGATGACGAGGCTCAGAAGCTGCCTTCCTGCCTTCAGGCGCGGTCGCCTGGAGCTCCAGCTCACTCATGCAAGGCCCCCTGACACATCTAATCGGTTCGAGAGCATTGATTGGTGGTAGTGGGGCCAACTGCACAAATGGCCCAAGCTTCTACACGTGATAACATACAGAGCTCGAAATCTTACCTTGGCCAAGTGCGACTCTGAGCATTTCGAAGGGAACCTTAGTAGGAAACACAAGTCTTTCTTGCTATTCATGTGACCTCCCAACCTCCAATCTGTCTGACACAATACACTATTCCTTGCGCAAGTTTCCCCGTGTTTTCATGTCCTTCTAAAGATCCTTGACACAGGCGCTTCCTCTGACCAACCAGGAGCGCGCTGTTGCCTTCTCACGTCGAAGGTGCACAGGCCAACGGTCTGAACAAAAAACACCACCTCATTACATCAACGCGCTTGTCAAAACGATATCCATTAACCTCTCCCCGAATGCTAAGGGTCTCGCCAGGCCTCAATCCGCCGGCTACCTAGCAACGATCATGGCTTTTAGCAGCTTCGGGAACCAGGGCAGCGCTCCTATGGGTAGCGCTGCTTCCCCCGGTGGTGTTACCCAAGGGCCCGAACTGGAGCTCATCCAGACGGAGGTTAGTCGGCACGCTGCTTCTATCACTGCCACGGTAGGGAAATTAACAGCTTCTTTAGGTTCTAGGATTTAAGTCCATTGCCGGCGATGCGAAGCTGCAACTGACATCTCCCTGGTCCACCCCTCCTACCGATACAGCATCCCTTCTTGCCATCGCGGCGCAAAAAGGCCTTGTCGCAGCTGCCAGTCCGGACAGCATCATAGTCGCAACAACCGATTCAGTGCGTAAAGCTTTCGATGGAGAGAAGCAAAGCGATTCAGACGTCCGGTTATTTGAGCCCCAGCTCAAACTTCCCTTGTCTATGCGTGTTTCTCAACTGGCATTTACCGCGGACGAAACATATCTGATTCTCTCTGCTGAGAGCGGCGGTGGCTTGGCCGTTTATGAAGTCCAATCTCTTCTCCGAGGCAATACGCAAACGGCGTTTGAGCTTTCGACGAATGGCGAGACACTGCGCGCTCTCGTCCCGAACCCTACACCTGAAAAGGCAGAGCTTTGCGCCATTGTCACCACGAACGGCGGCTTGCACATGGCAAACTTGAAGGAGCGTCAGATCAGCAACCCGCTTAAGACACAAGTCAGCTGCATCAGCTGGAGTACGAAGGGTAAACAACTAGTTGCCGGCTTGGCAGATGGGACAATCCATCAGATGACTCCAGAAGGAGAGGCCAAGGCCGAGATTCCTAAACCGCCCAGTGTCTCCAATGCTCATGGTATGTTATTGATGAACACTTGAAGGTTTACTCGTCGCGCTAACCTTCCGGTAGTTGCGTCCCTCACCTGGCTTGAGAACCACGTTCTGCTTGTTATTCACACCAATGCGACTGAAACACCTCCGTTGTCAACATATCACATCATCAACAGGCAGCCCCCTTCATCTTTCACCTTCCAGAAGCTCACCGATCCTGTCGATCCGTTCGGCGCTGACAAGGCGCCACATCACTCTATCCTCAGGTTGAAGGACTTCCCGCCAGACCTGCAGGACCTCCTTATCGTCTCTTCCACAGCGTCGCCCGATATTGGTCTTCTCAGCAGGTCAAAAAAGGCCTTGACTCCGGACAAGCCAGCCGATGCAATCACAAACGTTTTCACCACTACTGAACTTCTTGACGACTCGAAGCGAGCTCAATTACCCATGAGCGAATCATTTGATAACACGGTGCCCATCGGTGTCAGTCTGGACCTGTCCAGTAAAGAAAAGGTATACAAACCTCTGCCGGCAGATGAGGAAATTGAGGACTCGCCTGGCCCGCTGCCTGGGTACTGGGTTCTCAACAACGAGGGTGTTCTTTGCTCGTGGTGGGTCGTGTATGAAGATTCCATCAGACACGGAACTTCGTACCCCGGCATTGGCACAGGTGAAACTCCTGTAACCATAGCCAGTTCGGCGCCTGTATCCGCCCCTGCGGCGACTGTGGTGCCGCCTGCGTTCGGGACCACATCTACTACTACTCCTTCTGCTTTCGGCTCCAGCAACACGCCTGCCTTTGGGTCTCCCGCCCCCGCCTTTGGGGGTGCGTCTGCGCTTGGATCAAAGCCATCTCCATGGGGTACATCGCAGAACTCAGCACCCGCTGCCCAAGCTCAATCTGCACCAGCATTCGGCAGTAGCTCCTTTGGAAGCGGTCCTTCTTCTTCCACGCCTGCCTTTGGCCAGACGAGTGCCATTGGTTTCGGCCAGTCGGCTCAACTTGGTGCGAAGAGCTCGCCCTGGGGCACGTCCGCCAGCGCTGGAGGTGCTGCAGCTTCGGGCTCTCCTGCTTTCGGACAGTCTGGGTTTGCGAACAAGGGCACCTTTGGCAGCAACACAAATACAAACGGGCCTTCTGCGGCAGCTTCAGGAGGCTTCGCCAGTTTTGCCGGATCGAGTGGGTTCGCCTCGGCCGGGGCCAGCACCAACAATGGTGGAAGTATCTTTGCGAGCAACAAGCCTGCGTCTGGTTCCCCCTTTGCCTCATCAACAAAAGCTGATACTGCCTTCCCCGCTCCCAACACAACCAGTACAAGTCTTTTCCAGAAGTCGGAGCCTTTCAAGCTACAAAGCTCTTTCAAGCCCGATCCGTCGCAGAAAGATAATGACGAGAAGCAACCCCCGAGTGGCTCCTCTTTGTTTGGCAATGGTTTCGGTGCCGCTCTTGGTGACGCTGCCAAACAAACTTCGTCAAGTGCGCAGTCGACATCCCAGGCGACACCCCAGACCTCCCAGACAACAACAAGGTCACCCTTTAGCACGACCGGCACCGAGGCTCAGCAACCAGTCAAATCACCATTTGGTACAGCGAATGCTGAGCCTCAGCAGCCGACCAAGTCACCATTCAGCATGAGCAATAACCAAACAGAGCCAGCCAAGTCGATATTCAGCCTAGGAAGCACCCAGCCCAGCCAAAGCAAGTCAATTTTCAGCACTGGCAGTACACAGCAGAAGTCACAATTTAGCCTCGGCGGCACCTCTCCGGGCGAAACATCCAAGTCGCCATTCAGCCTTGGCGGTGAGCAAAAGAAGTCGCCGTTCACCCTCGGCGGTGAGCAGAAACAATCACCATTCAGCCTTGGCGGTAGCACAGCTTCTGAAGCAAGCAAATCGCCGTTCAGTGTTGGCAACGGCGTTAAGTCTGGGCAACAGAGCAATCCGTTCAGTATCGCCAACTCACAGTCTGCTTCGCAAAAGTCTCCCGCAGGCCGTGAAAATGATGATGTTGCCGAACCACCCAAGTCTCCATTCAGCCCCCCTGAGCTTCAATCGACTACGCCTACTACAACACCTGCGCCCAATCGATTCGTTCCCTCCGAGACCCCTGCAACGGCTCCTAAGAGCAGCATCTTTGCCGGCTTCTCTTCCACCACAACCAGCAGCAGTGGCAATTTGTTCAAGACACCCCAGCCGTCGTCTTCCATCTTTGGGAGCAAGCCCCCACAGATCAAAGTCGAGGAAGATGCACCGCTGCCCCCAGAGTCAACCAGCAGGAATGCCTACCCCATCGGAGATTCTTCATCTGGGACCAATACGGACGGTAGCAGTAAGTCTGTTTTCAAGGGAGACAGTGCACCACTTCCCCCCGACTTCACCACCACGCCCAAGTCGGCGCAGAACCGTGTCCCTGAAACCTCGCCGCTTCCTGCAGACTCTATGGCCACGCCACGGCCGCACCCAGCAAATTCGGAACAGAATGATTCGTCAGAGGGCTCGTCAGATAGTTCTCCCGTAAGCTCCGTCGAGGAGGATGCGCCCCTACCTCCAGACTTTATCTCCAAAGCTACGTCCCGAGGCCCGTCGACGATCCCTGCGGCGCCAGAAGACGGGAGTGACAGCGATCTTGAAGATGATGTCGAGTCCGAGGGCAGTGGTATCATTGTAGGCAAAGACATGAGTCCTTCATCTACTGGCCTCACAGCAACCCCTGGGTATACGCCGCAAAGCTCCTTTGGTGGCATTGCGGGAAACGCGTTCTCTACATCCCAGGCACAGTCCGAGAGGCCCCGCGGTCTTTTCGGGGAGATGAGGCGCACTGGCCCAGTATTTCCTCAACCAAACGCTACAAGCCCTCGGTCTCCCAGTCCAGTAAGAACGGCCATCCCTCACAGGATGTCGCAGCTGAATGCATCCCGTTCAGTCAGTGCTCCTGGCATGGCCTCTCAGCTTCTGAGTGCTTCACAAAGAGGTGGGTCCATGGGCATGTCTACTGTTGCTAGCAGACCGGAGGAAGACCCTCAACTCAAACAGCAAAGGCTAGCTCGCTCTCGTCGCGAGGCCGAAGAAACGAAGGTTTTGGAAGACGAGGAAGACGATGAGATTCAGGCAATCCTCTCCTCGGATATCGAACCAACTCTTGTTATAGACGACTTCATTGCCCATACAAATGCCGTGCCGTCAGCCCAAGAGACGATTCCTTCTCAAGTGGAGGCGGTATATCGTGATATCAACTCCATGATCGACACACTCGGTCTGAATGCGCGATCGCTCTCAGCCTTCATTCAGGGCCACAGACAGAACTACAAAGAGGGTGGACGAGATAAAGAAGACCTTGAAAATGCAGACGACTGGGTTCTTTGCGAGCTTGATGAGCTCGGTGAGGTTATCGAACGGGACCTGACCCAGGACCTTGAGGACAGCAGAGTACGGGACGTAGAGGAGAAGCTCGAAGCATGCCAAGATTTGTCAAAGGAGATGTCACGCCTGCGTACGAAGCAGGGAGATCTGAAAAAGCTCATCATGATCAAGGTCGACCCTGACCAAGCTGAGGTCAGTCGATCCATGCCTCTGAGCGCGGAACAGGCATCACAGCAAAGCGAGCTACGTCGCCAATACGCCACCTTCTCGAAGCACCTCGCAGAAGCCGAGGAAGCTTTGACACTGCTTAAAACGAAGCTTGCTTCCTTGAACAGCGCCTCTGGAAAGGGTGGCCAAAAGGTGCCTACTGTTGAGGCCGTCCTGCGTACGATTAACAAGATGACGAGCATGGTTGAGAAGCGATCTGGCGATATCGATGTGCTGGAGAACCAGATGCGCAAGTTCCGTTTCGCATCTGCGAACAGCCGCGAAGGGTCTCCCTTGACGACGCCACAGAAAAACAACCGCTCTGTCATGTTCTCCCCCGATCACCTTCGCAGCGAGTCGCCCCGCAACCCACGCAACTCACTCATGTCTTCGGTCATGTCTTCTGGCGGTCGAAGCACGACGCCACGGAAGAAACTGAGCGGCTTCAGCTCGGATGAGAAAAGCGAGCTCATGGGCAAGCGTGCGAAACGGCAGGCAGTGCTCGATAAACTGAAACTTAGTGTGCAGAAGAATGGTGTACAGCAGTGGCCGATGCCCGACGATACTGAGTAGGATAGTTCCTAGGCTATGGGAGGGCATATGCCGAGTATTGTGATAGGACGGCGAATGTAATATCCCCCTTGCTAATGCTGACAGGAGGTTGGAGTACATGGCAGTAATCAAGGGTATGAAAGATCAACAATATTGACAGGCCGATCTGTAAAATGCCAAATGCGCCAGCGTGTGTACCATGGGGAGCTTGTCTTGACGTGATTGTATCTTTTCCAACAAGTCGGCCAAGAGCTGCGGCTGTTGTCTGCTCCGGTAGACGCCGTTAGCACAACACAAGGCTGACGCGGATGTCGTACATCTCATAGGAGGCATAATGGATGGGTAGACCCTGCACATCTATAACCTCAGGTGCTGGATGGATGAATAATCGTCCGAGATAGATATTAGAAGAGCAAGTGTCCTCCATTCATCGTGAGTTTGAATTGAAGTATGCCACTTACAAGCCCTCAGTAAGATCGCACATGCGTTGAGCTAATCTCTACATTTTCACGACTTCTACATCAAATTAGCTCAACAAGGCTTCAATGAACACGTTATTACCAATCCCTACGGGAGAGATTGGCCTAGCAAACAAATGTTGTGTACAATTGAACCCGTTATCTGGTCAATCAACCGTCCAGACCGGGCAAATGCTAGTGGGTCAAATCGCCCTTCTGTTATATTCCATCAAACGCCTGCCTTGGAGAACGAGAAGCCATCAATTTCCGAGGCCAGGGTGCATTGAAGCATGAAGCGTACGCCTACGATGTATACCAATTTTGTTACTGCGTAGTATATGCACCCGCTGGATATCAGCACAAACTCTCTTGCGGTACCACGTGAGGCCGCAAGCGAATTGGCACAATGTGTCCAATAATGACAGCAACCAACTGGCCTTCATCCCAGTTCTACGATAACCCAACGCGACTCAACGTTTAGCCAAGGCGGAGATGCAGACATCAAACTCGCACAAGCTTTACACACGAGGGCACGAAGCACCAGTAAAAGCACATGGCGCGGCTGTAACCGCTCACGGAAAAGGGGCGTGATTATCCTGAGGTGAATGGCGATCCACGGAGCCTTACCAGGTGGCAGGGACGGGATGAACAGGAGATTTGCCCATCATGGACTCAGACGAAGACAGCCGCGACTCAGGCAGACGTCGATCGCCCGCAACTGCCGTAGACTCCAGCCTAGCGACTCAGGTGTGCATTTCTTTCACGTGCTAGCTGACCGGGCGGTGGTGTCGATGTAGAGCAGCCAGCCTCGAGTAGCGGTACATCAATGTTTGTCTTGCTCTCTCGTTCTTCATACTTGACTCAAACAGTCGTTTTTACTCTCTGCCGGGATAGACGGCTCAACCTAATCAGGGGCCTGGGAAGCAGATGAGTGGCCGCCGCTGTGTGGCAGTGCGTACTGTTTGTTTCGGCGCTTCTCGGCCAAACAGCTCGTGGACATATCCCCTTGAAAGGGGGCCGCCTTAGCCTGCTGCTGGTGCTGTCCAGGGCAGGTACAGGAAAAGTCAGATGGCGGGCGCCTCTTTCCCCCAGCTGTGTTAGGCGCACTGAGCTCATATCCCTGGTGAGACACCTGTCCCCCAGGTCCGGTTGCAGCGAGAAAAAGACTGAACAATCGGGCAGACTGGGTTGCCGTGTCTCAGAATATTCGGGACAAGCCAAGGGTCAACGCCTGAATGGAGGTGACGAAGATGGCATACCTTGGTTTATTGCTTTGCCCTGCACTGACGGTCCGTTGTCGGGGTGTTCAGACGAGTCGGAAGACACTGCGCGTATTGATGCGCCAGTGGAATATGTGCAAGTCAGAATGGCGGCGCACTTGCTTGCATGAATGCATGACAGTCAACGTCGGAGATGCTCAGCCTTGCAGTCTGATGGGCAGTCTGGTGGGCATTCTTCCTGTCAATAACGCCAGGTTGCAATATGATGTTCACCTCATGACGCATCATGTTTCGACCTGTAACAGCATAGAGAGCCCAAGACACGTTGATCTCCCTGATGAGTGGGCTGTTGCGCCGGGATGTCGTCGTGGATGTCGCGTGCAGTGTCGTGTCTGTCCATCGTACGCTAGAATGTACTGACGTTGGTGGCGTGGGGTCTCAGAAGCTGTCCCAGACCATCTTCTCGATCGATGTGCTCTAAAAACTGGTAGTCGCAGCGTTCATGGCGACAAACTCTTCGTGTTGGGTCGATCCCTCTTCAACGAATGGCGGTTGTCAGGGGAGCGTCTCTCATATCGTCACGTGATCCGTCAACCGCACATTCTCGTGGTCGAAAGCGGTCCTTGATCACATCCCAGGTCCCGTGTGGTAGGCGATCTTCAGGGCTGGTCGCGAGGTTGAATGCAGTTGGAAAAAGCCACTCAGGGGAGAGGGAATCATTCAGTTAAGTAGACGACAAAGAGAGGCAATGGGCGTTGTCGGGCGTTCTCGCGAGGAGTTTGCTGTCGTTTCAAATGGAGGGCGAGACCAGTCCATATGATGTCACTGACGACTCGAAACATCCCACGATCGTAACGCGGCCAATTGTAGGCAAGGTCCCTATAGCTTTTAGGCAGCGAATTCGCGGATCGCAACTGCCCTCAACCTCCTGGGTATTCCTTCTTTCTATGAGAAGCAGCCGAAAGCGCGCTCGCCAGGATGCAAGACTCTCCCATCGATCGGCAGCTTCTCTGACACCTGCCAACTACGCCCAATGTACCTGCCTACCCAACAGATACCTACAAGCCAAGAAGGGATATGGCGACTGCTTCAACATGCCAACGAGATTATGCATGTCTGGCCCTCGCATGATTTGAAGAAGGGGGTAGGAGGTCATATTGTCACGTTAAGGATTCAAGGACAGTGGTAGCTGATGTGTTTGCGTCTGCTTGATTTTCGATTCGCGGCGCTGAGGGAGAACCTGGCCTACCTTAGTTCAGGCACAAGCTTGAGTACCACCAGCATCGTTACCGAAAAGAACCAACAACTATCGCTGCTTGAAGAGAAACGCCACTCTCTATAACACCGTCTGGGTACCTTGGATTGTAGGTCAGCCTCAAGTCTACGCCCGATGTACCTGGAACCGAATCACCACATCCAGGAAACCACCTTAGTCCCATGGCATGGCATCTGCTGAATTGGGTACGGGGTGCTTTTCGCGTGAGCGCATCCGGACGACGTCGCTACATCTCTCGGGTGCTGGCTGCTTAGTGCCTTCGGACCATTTCCGACCAGCCTTGCCTGGCTTGACTCGGTCTGAAGCAGACAAAGATGGCTTCCCAGACGCGCGTCCGCATCTTCACTGACCCACCAGCTGCTCTTGGAATTGAGCCCGGTCACTCACTACGCCACCCAGTCATTCAGCAACGAGGCAGCGACGGCACGCCAAAATCGGGCGCATGAGGGTCCGGATGCCTGTCGAACTGGGCAAGTGAATAGAGCAAAGGAAAGTGTCGTTTAAGACGGCCCGACAGCTGGGCAGCGCCATCCCGCCAGGTCCGCCTCCCCGTTACCATGGGAGGGCGAGTCATTGCCTGTACTGGCCGCTTAAGAGAGAGCTGTCATGTGGTCCGAGTTGATGGACAGCCGCGGGGACCCCTGGACATCACGACCTCACTCGTCATGCGGAGCCCACAACCAGTATCGCGAGCCCCTCCCACGCCTGTCTTGTTTCCGGACAATTTACTGTTGGCGTCAGGTTTTCGTCGAGAGACACGGAAAGCAGGGGAGAGCCGCCTCATCTGCAATACGACAAGAAACGGCCAGTGATCATTCAAGCCCCTGTGGGTCGTGCAGAGGTAGGGTCCAATGTTCGCCTTCACTGACTTCGAACGTGACCCATCCTTGGGGAACCCTGTTGATTCTGAGACGACCCCTTGTCGCATGGCAGGGTATCTTGAGATTGTCGAAAAGACTTTGCAAGCATCCAGTGAAGGCTCTCGGGTCTCGCGCAAGCTTCAAGGTCTTGTGCAGACCATTTACAGATGTCCTCATCTTAACGATAAATTGCATCGGCAGAATGGGAAGGCAGCTACATTTCGGTTTCTCGCCGCGTCTCTTTTGGGACACTCTGTGGAGGTAGGGGCATTTGCGCCGCTGTCGTCTGATGATAAACGATGATGATATCAAAATCACCAGAGAACCATGCCAAAATTCAGTTCGACGATTGAATAAAACTACTGAAGCATCAAGGGCCAGTGCCGTCAGATCGGATCGTCAAAAGCCACCATCCCGTCAATGCTCTCGACCCGGCAGCTGGCAGTTACGATCTCTGTTGTTTAGGATTCACCACCGGCGTTGCATCCCGTGAAGCTGTCAGTCGTAGGGACCCCACAGAATCGACATGATCGTCCATCATTGACGCCTGGCGTACCGATAAGGATGTTTCGTTTCTTGCAGCAACCCACGATGCTACGCTGTGGCTGTCCTGGGCTCTTGGACATTAGTCTTGCCTGGTCATGTGCCGGGCCCAGCTTGCCATCGAGTCAAAGGATCGGCACCATCATTTCGTCGGGTATCTGAATAGAGGCATTGTGGCATCCCGAAATCATTGCCCCTCTTAAACTATCACCCGCATATCCAGGACCGGCTCTGACTCTGGCCAGGGCTGGAACGCAAGCCTGCCATGTCCTATTTATGCCTTGACAGTCCGAGAGTTAAACGACTGGTGCGGATGAGGTCCCGCATCATTGGCTTCGACGCCGTCAGTCAATAGCTGCTGGCTTGGCTCGAACCCCTTCTTGGTTCCTGCAAGCTTCGTGACGGGTGCTATCAAGTACACCAACCAGTGTGGCGGCACGAAGCAAGCATCTGCCGGGTCAGCCTTGACGACGTTGACGTGCTATTGAGTAAAGATTTCCGAAATTCCCCTTGCGCCCCGTCTGTTCTCACCCTGTCAACTATGATCGGCGACCTCGAAGGGCTCTCCAACGGCCTTGGAGCATGGGTGCCCGGGTCTAGCGTGTTTCATGTGTCTAAATCAGGCTTACGGCTACAAAGCGATGGCCTGAAAAAGCCTAGCTGG